TGATGTCGGGACTTTGTGTGAGCAGAAGAGAGAGATGGCCGATGTTTGGGAGTGGTCACGAGAGAATGCATGGATGAATGTGATCACAACTTCGACAAACAAGCATTTAATACCCCCAGTATACGATAGTGGGCCAATAAGAAATTTCCATATAATAATAGCCAATGCATGATCTATCATTTTAGAATTTTATCGAATCGGATTGATAAAAGTAGAAATATTCATTCCGACAGCATTCCTACATATTTGTCCGAACAAAGCCAGAGATACGTTTGATATCCATACAAGTGCCAAGAAAAGGCACAGAATGTTGCATATTGTGAGCGGTTATCGACAAATTTGGCACCTCTGTAATATAACTACAAATATACCTCTCAATTTATCATAGACCTATGCATATGCGAGCTCCACTACTAAATTAAAATCACGATGATTACAGATAAGTGTCTGACGAATTTGCACATACTAAGCCAGACATGCACTTTACTGAATACAAATTCTAGTAAATACTCGTACAGCTTCAGAAAAAGACGGCTTAGGAACATGCGCATTCTATAGTTAGTGCCAGTCGACCCCAAGTCGGTCGTGTCGACAGTAGTGAAAAACTTAAGGAAGTTTTCGCGTCTGAGTCGGTAACAGCTGACCAGCTGACACGTCTGTTCCCAGTGACTCAACTGGTGCGTGATTGTTCGCTGTAATGGAGAGTTCGTCATGCACCTCGTTTACCTTTGAGACAATAGTAGAGAACGTTTAGCGAAAAACTGCAGGATCTCTATTGCAAACACGTAACGAATATGATGCTCGATCTCCTTGCTACACAAAGACAAATCGTGGACGACATGCTACTCGAAATGGCGCGCATTATTACACGAAAGTGCATGAAATGAGCGAAGAGGAAATAGCACAGGAATTTTATTCATATACGAAAGGTGATCTTCTGTTACTCATGGCGCACACATACATGACTGATACGAGTGTAATGGACTAAGAGGACGCTGCAGATGTGCGTCTGATGCGGCATGCCTTCTGTCGGGCGTCTAATATGTTGATTGTCCTCAAGCATGGTCTAATGCTTAGCTCCAACAAAGTTAGGCGCATGTAGCAACCCCAATAAAAAGAGATTTATACATGATAATTGTGGCGTACAAGGTTTTGCTTGCAACTGAGGCTAATACGGCCTCATCTCCACGTACATAAAATAACGCCCTACACATAGTGGTATACATGAGAAGTACGTTACACAAAATTGAATCGATCTAGTTAGGGCAGGTAGTTTGCTTAAGTCCATGTGTTATGCATCATAAACAAACGTCAGCATTTATTCTCGTCAGAACGTCTAGAGGCAAAAGTCGAGCAGCAGCATTGCTATATGATTTATCATCTTGGTATTTAATGACCGTCCTTCTCTCTCTTCACGTCTGATGGTGGATCGCACGAGAGAAAGAGAAACAAAACAGCAACATTAATGGCAGTCTGCACAAGACATAGAGAGAAGAAGAGCAGCAAAAGTGTCAGACACCACTAACGATAGAAAAGTGAAATAGTAGTAGCACACAAACTTCAAACAGCACAAAGAGAGAGCGAAAAACAAAACAGCAACAAAAACGTCAAACTGTACGAGAGAGAGATAAAAACAGCAGCAATATCATAAAATTGCACAAGAGATAACCAAACAGCCACAAAAACGTCATAATGCACAAGATAGAGACTCAAAGCAGCTGATATAGCGTCAGACTGCATTAGACTAAGTGGTGGGACAAAATGTAGGACTAATTATACCAATATCACTTTACTTTTTCGACTAGTGAGAGTTGTCGTTTAGTAGTATCATCTTCCTCTGCATACGTCTACGTGAGGTAGCATGTCACTAGCTCACACTATTTTCAGTGAGGGTCAGCTACGAACCGAAGACAGTGCATAGTCACCAGGGGTCTCGTGACATACCGGGTCATCAATCTCAATTACTTACAAGCAAGTATTTATTTTGATGAGTAGCGGTGCGGCACAAGCAATCAAAAAACGATTGGTGCAGCTTATAGCAGAAGAGACGAGATAATTAGGCTGGCATAGTGAGAATCGGAGAGATGCGACTCGAGAATCAGGACAACTGTATTCGCTTAACACAGCTTCTCCTGCTACAAGTATAGCCTTCAATTTGCGCCGTCGACATCTTGCTGTTATCACGGTCTTTCTCCCAGCCGTCCGGATCACAGATGCTGCCGACAACGTTTCAGGTTGGACAGGAAAGGAGACGTGTACGCCTTCTAACAATTCATGAGGGCACACGCCACGTCGATCGAGTTTAGCAGCCACTAATATAACCCGTGTCTTCTGGTCCCACCAAAGTAGCGCATTATTACCGCTCGTTAGTCAGAGAGATGTATAGATAGGCTAAGAAGACACTAGGTTCGTAAGAATACAAAGGATTGACGTAAGAAGGTAGTAAATAGCGTGTACCTACTGTGGAAGGGCACACAGAGTCAACTAGTTCGTAGATCAACCTTTACGGGTCCAGAGAAGAATCATCAGGATAGAGCGATATAGAGTTTCGTGTTTAGGATTGGCATGCATTACTCTGTTCAGAGGTAAACTAGCTTGAATGTTTTCCAACTTGTAGCTATCACTGTACAGGAATCGCTATATGACATCATTTAACAACTTGCATTAGATTGCATAAATTTCACCACATTCGTCAATGTACAAGTTATGTCTTTTCTGAATACTTATCGTTTTTTATGTAAAAGATGTAAACATATACAAACTCGCTTTCAAATCATGGGCATTCAGCCTGTAGCACACGAAGCTGCGGGATCTGGGTGAAATGTGACAATATCGACCTCCAGACGAATTTATGCAAGAAGCCGTTAGATTTCGATTCGAACGAGATTGATTTTATTATGAATGGTTTAGAATGGACAAAATTTGATGAAGTCTTTTGTCACGGATGATGCATCAGCCTGTTTAGTTCTCACTTTCGGACGTTAATGTGAAGGTTGACAGTCTAACTTAGTCAACCGAACTATGGGCATTTTGTTATGACCGACAAACGCCGGCTTATGATTCTACGACCACTGTATATCCGTCCGGGATGGGAGATGTATACCGACCGATATGTCGTTCATCACTGCCAAGGCAACGTAAGTCTGTAACGAGGTTGTTGCCAAACGAAACGATGAAATGTTCGTACCAGCCGATGGGAAATACCGCTACAGGGCTGGCCTAAGCAGCCTTCCAAGTCGCGAGTGCGTATCAATAATGAGGTTTCGAACAAGACGGTCGGCTTATATTCCAGGATCGTGGCTATCACTTGATGCTAAGGACGCCGTTACTGGTACGATAATCTACGATGTCAGGAACCTCATCGTAAGCTGCTGGCGGAATTCTTATATGACAGAATGCTGCCACGTCCAACACAGCTCCTTCGCATTGCACGCAGAGGGCTATAGCACTATACAAATGGGAGTCCGGTTTGTGACCTGAGCATCGCACGACCCTCGCATCGTAAATTGCAGCGATGGATGAGCACCATCCTGTCCGCTTTCTCCCATAGTTCTATTGGAATGGAACTGGCCGAGGCGAAACTTGTGTTACGTCACGTGCCGTTACGTCACGTGCCGTTACGTCACGTGCCGTTATTTTTGAAATGCCTCGAAGTGGAGGGTCGTCCGTGCAGCGTTAGTTATCGGGTCCAAATATGCTAGAGGCACATCACTTGACCGATACCATTTGCAGCTACTGGAGGACCAGCGATGGCACGAGTTATGTTTGTGTCTTGCACATCCAACCTCCGTTGGGTTTCTTGAAGTTTTAATTGACACTTTGCAAGCATAACATTGAGAAAAAGATGTGTTCAACGAGTCGAGGGACGTCCACAAAGGCTGTCAATGACTATGAGATGAACAGCACATTCGTAAGTTGAGGCCTACATGTGAGGGACTTTAAATCGATGGTTGAGTTCGCCACAGCAGCACAAGCTACAACTACGTCGATAATGTACGGCAACGTCTGTCTGGTCAATATGTACAGAATCACTATACCACTGCCACGGTGGTCGTACCTTGAACCAGTCAAGGAGGGCGTGCTGACTTATTGCTGCTCGACTATGCCGGAAACGAAAGGAGGCACTTGTGCCCTTCTACTAAAGCGATCTCTAATATCCTCCCGCCAACCTGTGCTCTGCATCTTCAATTGCGTGATCGTGTCAGGACGTCCTATCGACGGCTTCGCGGCTGTGTTTACCGCACAAGTCGTAAGCCATACGTTGACTGGCGCGAGACCGAAAAGCTGCTGCTGCAGCGTGATGAGTACCTCACCTGTCAAAAACATGGTCTCGACGGTAGCATACGATCCTGAGCGTGGTCACGACCGTGATCGTTGCCCCTGTCACGATCGCGATTTCAACTGGACCCCTTGGCCTGACCTCTCTCACGCTTGCAGACCTTGCCACAGTAGTGTATCGCCGTAACTGCTGCTAGAGCTGCTTCCTTCACCTGATCACATCGCGGCCACTTCCAGGATATCCAATCAAACTTCCTCGACACCGCCGCGACTGCTCTCATTGCTGTGTCTGTCGTACCCACCATCATCTTCGTGACTACCGCCTGACGATCACGTTCACACTCCATTCCCTGCGACAAAGCTCGACTCCAACCACAGCACTGTCTGTATGTAAGGTCACACTTGCAGACCCTCCGAGTAGAAACTTCCAGTACGGACAAATAGCCAAAGCTGCAGCGAGCAGTTCACATTGACTTCTCGTTGCGATTGCATTACAAAGGCAAAACCGTACTCACACACACGTCGTCCACCCAGAAGCTTCACTCGGGTCTCTCGATGACATGAACGGTGTGATCGATACACAGAACAGCAAAGCGCAGTGCGAAGCGAGCAAACAATGACGTCTATATACTAACAAAGCGAGATCGCGTCCCGTCACAGTGCAATCAAGATCGAGCGAGCGATACCTACAGGGCATTGCACTTTGCGCGACAACAGCAGGTCTAGGAAAAATGGATGTGGTTCGCGTTGAACCGTTCCAGTAGTCTACACATCCAAAGACAACGATAATAAGCACGGGTCCCGACCATGCACGGCAACACCGACATGAACGTACTGCAAAAAGTCGTCTTGGTCCATCTTGGCACCTCGCTTTCCGCCAAAGTCTTCGATAGCCAGCACCTCTTCCACTTTCTTCTTCATGTCAATATCACCTTCCGGAAGCTGCAGTGTTCAGCATACAATGACAACATCAGTCAAGACGCACGAGCACCTTCGGCACAAAACGGTAGCCGCCAAACCTCGTCATTCAGCGAGCAGTACGTCTTGTAGTTCTCCTCCAGAATCTTCAGCACCGACTTGGTCACAAAGCACGAGTGCAGCGTCTTGTTCTTGCGGTTAAAGATGATCTTGATCAGACCGTCCCATTCCTGTCGCAGATTTGCCATCGTCAGCACATTAGCTTTGTCTGATCATCCCCCAACAACCACACTTCCAAAATGGTACCGTAAAGTTCACGGGCGGTGGCGGGTTCCGCGGCTCAATGCGGACCACACGCGACTCGACTTTCGGCGGCGGACGAAAGTTATTGCGTCCGACTTTCAGCAGCTGGTCCACCTTAGCCAGCAGCTGCGTGTTCACCGACAAGCGACAGTACAGCTCGTCACCTGGTCTACACAGTGCAACAGGACAACCACACAAGCCTCAGTCCTCCGTCAAAAAACAACTCGTCGTCTGTCCCATCGACTGCACGTGCGCTGCACGCACTTGGCACTCAGCCGCTTGGCAAACTCTTCTTGAAACATAATCACAGCACAGCGAAACATGGGACGATGGGCGAGCAGCTTGAACACAAAGGGCGACGAGATCTGGTACGGCAGGTTCGCCACGCACACGTCAAAGAACGGCAACTGCACGCGCATGACGTCGCCGTGAATGATCTGCAAGTGGTACAGGTGCTCCGTGTGCTGGATCCGCTTCTGGAGCTCTGCGACCATCCGCGCGTCAAACTCCACCGCCACGACGCGCTTCGCCTGGTCCAAGAGCTTCACGGTCATGTTCCCTGTCCCGGGACCGACTTCGAGGCACACGTCAGTGCCGCGGATCGCTGCTTTGGCGACGATCTGCGTCACGATCATGGGGTTCTTGAGGAAATGCTGCCCCAAGTTCGTGTTGGGCGTCGCGAGCGTTCGCCCGAGCGCATTTTGCGCGGCCGAAGCAGTGCCCACGTTGCGCGCGCGCTTCTTCTTGTCCTTGGGCATTGGCAGCACCACGTCACAGCCTTTGGCCCTGCGATGGGGACAGGTGTTGCAGGTGGTAGTAGTGCAGGTAGAGCTGGTGCAGGTACTGCAAGTGGGAGTGGCTGGTGGACAATTGCCTCGTTTTAGGGGTCACGGGACTCGGTTTTAGCCAATAACGAGGGATGAGTGACTCTGAATACCGACTTGTCAGGTGCTCGCGTCACGTGTGCCTCGGCAGGTGCAGAAACGTGCGCAAATGTGTGCGAAAATAGTCCGCGGATGCAAATTTTGCAATTGATTTCGTCCGACGTACATAGCCCGGTCACTGGCGACAAGGCACGTGACTGTGCTAGGATTCGAAATTCGATTCCTCGACGATTCGCGCGCGGTTAGGGCAGTCGTCAGGAAGTTGTAGGCCTCACGGTGCAAAAACGATCGAACAAACGCAGGAACGGCCTCGTTGAAGTTTGAGCTGCTCGGATCGATCTCGTGGTCAGGAGCGCTGCGACAGGGCGGCAGCCCCTGCGCCAGCGAATGAAAACGCTGGGCGACGACGTGACGCCATCGCGTCGTTTCTCAATGTCGCGCGCGCAGTAATCGGCGGTCGATGGCACCCACCACCCAGTCTCCAACACCCATTCCAGTTTCCAAACACCCATCCCGGCCGCTCCCTCGCGTTCCCTCGAAACACAACAACCACACTCATATCCCAAAGGCAGTTTCGTCGTCTTCCACCCACTTCCACCACCCACTTTCATCATTCACCCACGCTGGACCTGCGGACGACACCCCTCCCTCGGCATCCATCACCCCATCCATCGCTCCATCTGCCAGTTGAGAACGTGCCGCTACTCCCCCACGCGGTCTTCGGATGCCCCCGTCCCGCCGAACCACTCGCCCGCACTCTGACACTGCTACTTCGACTCTCCCCGCAACGGACGCACCCACAGACAACAACAGTAACAGCAACAACAGTAACAGCAACAGCAACAACAACAACAACAACAACAACAACAACAACAAATCACCGGTAGCAGTCCCTCTTCTTCTTCTTCTTCTGAGTCCGAGTCGGCCGCTGTGGCCGCCGCTACGTCCTCCGCTCCAGTCGAAGAGCCTCCGACACCGGCAGCGCGTGAACCAGAGCCCGTTGCTGAAGACGCGCCGTCTGCTCGACCAGAGCTGCTCAGTTCCTCGAGCGCATCGACAGACGACGACGACGGCAACCTTTGCGCGACAATGAGCGGCACGATCCACGTGAAGGTGCTGCGGGCCGCGAACCTGCCGCGGATGGACTTTGGCAAACGTCAGGATCCATTTGGTGCGTCCAATCCCCTGAGGAGCTGCTCCAGCGGTTGGGTCTTATTCAGTTGACGTTTCTATTTCTATTTCTATGTGTACCATTGCGGCAGTGCTGGTGCAGCTGGACAAGTCCAAGCCCAAGTCGTGGGCGAGCACGGACCCTGTTTTCCACGGCAATACGGACCCCGAGTGGAAGGAGGGGTCGAACAATGAAGTGGAGCTCTTTTACGACCACAGTGTGCATGGCGAAGAGGCAGTGACGTTGACGCTGGAGGTCTACGCGACGGAATCGGGGGACGTGCTCATTGGCTCGGGCCAATTGGACGTCTCGGACCTCGTGCACAAGCACAGCACTGAGCCGCAGCAAAAGACTGTCAAGCTGAGCGATAATCGAGGGGAAGTGGTGGTCCAAGTGTGGTTTGGACCGCCAGTACGCAAAGCTTTTCGCGCCGCGGGACGCACGACCAAGTTGCTGTATGCGCGGGACGCAGTCGTGGCCGCGTTCTGCTCGATGACGTCGTCGATTGGCCGTGTGGTGTCGCGGTACGTCCAGCCGCCGGCGGACTTCGCCAAGAGCCACCGCAAGCTGAGCGTGGCCGTCGCTGCGCTGCTGGGGATCATGGGCGCCGGAGCAGGCGCTGTGTTTCTCGCCGTGGCGGTGCCGACGATGCTCGTGGCGTTCTTTACGTTCCCGCTCTGGATCATCCCGTTCCTGGTGACGACCTTCTTTACGGCTCCGCTGTGGGTGCCGATTCTGCTGTTGGCCGGCGCGTTCCTGCTGTTTATCGCCACGTTTGTCTTTGGTCTCGGCGTCACGTCGCATCCCGTGCGTCGCAAAGGCGCTATGATCTCGAACAAGATCAAGCACTCGGACGTTGGGAAGCGCGTGATTTATGAGAAGACGGTTTGAGGCTGGACTGGCACATGACGCGCCGTGCACGACAATGATGCGTTCTGATGCACACGGCTACACTTTTTCGTTTTCTGCTGTGTAGCGTGAGGTCCAGGAGCTGTGAGGCAAGAGATAAGACAGAACACGGATGGATTGTTGCAGCTACGATAGGCATGCTGTGCAAAAGGCGATACCGAGTAAACTTGTCATGTTATTATTGTTTGTGGCAGGAGACGTCCGTCAATTCGGCGCTGCATTCAGTCCTCCGAGTTTCGCGTAGAAAACTTGGCCGGTACGATCAAGATCTTGGCGATGTTCCTGTGCATCGCGATCGGTTCTTGGGCAGGCCCAAGAACAATTATTGTGGATGAACGTCTGTTTTCATGATGGGTGGTGGGTGCAATGTGTGCATATCGTCTCGAAGCACGTTACTCGGGTGACACTCGTGACTTCTTGTGTGGAGACGAAACGTAATGAGCATATGGAGACTGCAATGGGCCGATTGCCGCTCGACCTGTGGCTGGAACTTGACGTGACTGCGCGTTCATAGACGACCGACCGCTTGGGTTGTTTTCCGTGGGCCATTCATTTAGCACTGCAGCTTGTCGTATCCCCTGACAACGTGTTCCAATTGCGTCTTCTGGTGCAAACTCGCTCGCTCTTCCAAGCGCATGACTTGCTTCTCCTTTCCCTCGAGAAACTCAATGAGGTCGTGCATCTTCCCCTGCTTCTCCCTCAACAGCGTCACCAGACGGTCGTTCTCAGTCTGTATGCGCGACATGTTCACGTTGGCTGCAGTCAGGCGCGAAGACATCGACTGGAACTTCGTCTTGAGCTGTAGCGCGTCACGCTCCTTCTTGGCCAACCGCGCTTCAAGTTCGCTCACTTCGCGCTGCACAGACAACAGAGCCGTCCTCAGCTCGTCAATCACCTTCTGCTTCTCCGCTACACTCAGGAACAGGAGCATGTCCATGTCGAGACGCAGACCCTGTACCAATGTCGCCAATGCCTCCTTCGACGACACGTCTAGCGTCGTTTCCAGATGCCGTGCAACTTTTTCGGCGATTTCGGCAATGAGCTCCCGTTTCGTGGACAGCTGAAGGTTGAGACGGCATATCTCGCGGTCCTTCTCCGAGACCGCCTCTTCGAGTCGAAAGACTTCACTGCCATCATCGCCGCTGTTCGCAGACGTCTCAGCACCATTCTCTAGCAGCAAGGCGATCTGAGAGTCCTTCGCTTCGAGGTCATGCTGAAGGCGAGTCATAAGCTTCGACTTGCTTTCAAGCTCGCTTCGAAAGGTCGCTTCAGAGTCACGATAATGTCTCTCGCGCACACTGATAGACTCCTCACTTACCGCAAGACGTCTCCTGAGGTCTTCGACGCTCCTGTCGACGGCCACAGATTGTGACACTTTCTTCGTGAGCTGGACATTCTCCGTCTTGATCTTGAGATTCTCGTGGATCAGCTCGTCTACTTGGGCGCGGAGGTCATCAACGAGCTGCTGCCCGTCTTCATACATTGACATGTCACCATTGCGCCGTTCCCTCAGGTGGTACTCGACCAGCGAAGCCACTCGAGCCTGGTTCACTGGGTCAATCAGCCACGTGAACTTCTCATTGTGCTCCATGATCCCGTACAAGACCTCCATCACGACTTCGGTCGAGCTCAGCACAACATGCTGTTTGCTTTTTCGTTTCAAAACGTTGACACGCGGTGACGTGTTAACGGCAGATGGTCCTTCCGTTGCAGCATTGCAGACATTGGCACTGCTTTCGGAACGCAGATCGAAGACATTGAGCTGCGCGTCGACAGCGCGGCCTGATCGCTGGTAAGTGGCCGATCTGGACACAGGCGACCGCTGTGCAGCATCGCCCGCAATGCTTCGGAACGACGTGGGCTCGTCACTGTAGTCGTCGTAGGACGGCATCCAGTCCATCGTGTCGAAGGACGGTGTGCGATCAAAGACCGAACGAGCGCTCCGCTGCGTCGTCTCGGGACACATTGCGTACTCGTCGTGCATGTCATCGTAGTACGAAGCCATAGTCGAAGCCGAGGACGCCGTCAGGTCCACTGTGGTCGGAGAAGCTGCACGATACAACTGCTTGAGTGGCGAAGCAGGACGCACAGCAGGTGATGTCTTTGGCTGCGGGGACATGTAGCGGCGGACCTGGCTGTACTGGTGCACCTTGCCTGGCTTCACCATGACCGCCTCATCGCTCACTCCGACCATGACCTCCACTGTCGTTGGAGCCGTGGAACCTTTGCGGGCCACGGCATCAACCGGGTCCATCATCGTCGTCTTCTCTTTGCTCTGCAAAGACAGAATCCACTCGTCCATGGACTCTCGCTCGGGTTCCTGCAGACGTGCAATGGATGGGCTCCGACGCGACGTCTCACATGCGTCGCGACTGCTGCCGTCCAGAGCGTCAATCTGATCGTAGCTCTTCGTCGCGCTGGCTGTCCTTAGCGACAGTTTTCGGCGCTTCGACACGCTGTCTGCAGCTTTCATCCTCTCTCCAGCCACCACCTGCTGCTTGACGTGCTCAGCCGTCTCGGCACTACTACTACGTCCAGCCACTGGCGACACACTCAGCAGCTCCAAATCGACAGTCGTCACTGTCTTTTGCTCCTCACGAACTCGCGCAATCTGCCGGCCGTGCGCCTCGAGCGCGTCCACGAGCGCACTGTCCTTCAGCACGTTGCTGTCCTTCTTGCAGGCGCTACTAAGCGCCACTACGAGTCGCAGGAGCTCGTTCCGCTTCACGTCCATCATCGCCTTTGCTCGACCTCTCGTCTCGACAGCCACAGCGCTTCTCCTGTCTCTCAAGTCCGCCACAGCGCAGACAGATCCCCACAGACTGACAACTCCTCTCTCTCTCTCTCTCTGGCCCAGTCACTTCCAGAAGAGCACCTGCGTCCACCGACAAACTCGCAACGTATCCGTCACGCGCCTCTCGGGGGTCGCAATGGGTACAACAACAGTCCCCGCAGATGGAGCGAGAGGGGCACTCAAGCGCCGCAACCGACCGACTGAGCGGGTGACTGCAGCCGCTCGACGATAAACCGCACCGCCTGATTCTGCCGCACGAAACGACTTCCAAAGCAGTCCCTCTCTTCCCACTCTCTCTCTCTCTCTCTCTCTGAGGCCCACCAGCTGCTCCAGCGTCTGCTCAGGAGGAAGAAAGGGATAGTGAGTGACTGAACGAGTGTGTGACTGAGGGCGGAGAGTCTTCTCTCGTCCCCTCCGCAGCTGCTTAATGGAGTCAGCGCCTGCTCCTGTTCCCGGAGGACTCGCGACTTGGCGCCGCTTGGGCCTACAGGTCGTGTCCGTGAGACACGTCGGGTGTCAGATGATCCGCCAAGTGGCTCACTCGCTGGACCGAACTGGCTACAAAACGGGCACCGGCTGTCCGTTTCGAACGCCATGTGCGCCGCTGTCTCGTTATCGCTCACGTGCTGTTTCTCGGAAACGAATTAATATCAAAACTCACCCGACGCAGACGAACGCCACCTCACCGAGTTCGCCTCTATCGGTGTACTACTACTACTGCACTTGGTGTCTCCGGGCGATACACTTCGTGCAAAGTGACACAAGTTGTCACTTTTACGTTGGCGGCTGCTATCGTCAGGTGCTATAGGGCGCTCGAGAACGAAGAGCAGCTGTCTATGATGGATACTACAACTACAGCTTCTTGCACTGTTGCATCAAATGGATACACTTGACATTGGTCAGCTAATAAGCGACGACACTTTGGCTGCCCCGACGCCTTCGGGGGACTCGGACACGCTCGAGCCATCTTCCTTTTCCTTGTACAAAAGACGTCCTGCCTGCATCGTGCCCGACGAGAGCGCCCCACTCAGTGGTAAGCAACGTGCTGCTCGAACGTGTGCATGAGGTCCGCAAAGGACGGACGCAGACTCGGCTCCCGCGCCCAGCACGACTGGATCAGCCGGGCAAAGAAGCGTGGACAGGAGCGAGGGATCACTGGGCGCAGGTCGTGGTTGAGCACGCCCAGCGCTACTTGGATCTGCGTCATGCCGTCGTACGGGCACTGACCCGTAAAGATTTCCCACACGACAATGCCGAACGAGAACACGTCTGCTTTCTCCGTGTACTTGCAGTTCCCCAGCACCTCAGGGCTATTGCCACACGAAAAACAAGCGCGAGCAAGAAGACACACACACACACACACGTCACACACAAGTCGTTTCCAGAGCCAAAAACAAAGACACAGAAGGGTGTAGTGCAGCAACGTACGCCATCCACTGCACAGTGCCGCAGTTGCCCGTCATGGTCTGAATCTGCGCCTTGACGCGCGATAGCCCAAAGTCGGAGATCTTGATGGAAAAGTCGCGCTCAACAAGCAGGTTCGGACTCTTCATGTCCCGATGCAAGATGGGCAGCTCAAACTGGTGCAAGTACCGCATGCCACGCGCAGTGTCCACGACAAATTGAGACCGCATCGCATCCGAGAGCAGTCGTCGTCGCGTGCGAAGAACCGCCCAGAGCGAGCCGTGCTCGACGAGCTCAATCACCAGCGCCCGACTCGCGGGTGCTAAACACGCTCCCAGGAGCATGCAAATGTTGGGATGGTGCAAGCCGCTCATGATCTTCACCTCCGTTTCAAACTCACGGACCACGTCGGCCGTCAGGTTCTGTCGCACGAGCACTTTCACAGCCACGTCGCGGCCTTTCCACGACGCTTGAAACACTTTACCAAACGCGCCTTCGCCAATCACACGGCCAATCGTAACGTCCGCCATGTCGACGTTCTGCTGCGGCTCTAGAAACTGGTACTCGGTTGCATCTCTTGCCTTGCCATCCTCCTCCTCCTCCTCCTCATCATCATCATCAATATAGTGCTGCTGATCGTCCATCAAGCTACACACAGTGCACTCCGACTCGGGTTCTTCTTGCATTGTTGAGGATACGGGAGCATTCGTCTGTCGACAGCGGTCGGCCTCGTACTTGATGGGATCAAACCAGTCCGATAAACACAGCGGCACACCCGCTCGCTGTGCACTGCCGAGTCCCCTCGAGTCCTCCCAGTTTTCCACAGTCATGTACGACAGCCAGTCTTGCGCGTCAATGGGGACGGAGCTGCTCGGGACTGTACAGCGACTGTTGTCGTAGTAATAAGCGTGCCCTTCTCCGTCCACCTGACAGGCTCGAGCCTCTTCTTCTTCTTCTTCCTGTCGCAGCTTCGTCGCCTTCGTCTTCATAGGCAGAGGCGGCAGCGATTGGTCCACGAGCTCTGCCGGCCGCACGAACGTATGCGCACACTGTGGCGCTGTCTTCCTGCGGGTGTCGGCCGCAAACGAGTCGTACTCCATTGACTGCGTGTGGGTGCGGATCGGCGACCCGCAGAGGCGGAAGAAGCCGTGCGCCTTGTCGGGACTCTTGCGCACTCGGGACGTGGACAGCGGCATGACCCACGCGGCGGCACAGACGGACAGAGACGTCGGGCGACGGCGACGGCACTGGACGAAAGGTAAAGTGAAGAGCTCTTTGCGTGGGTCAGTGTGTGAATGTGTGTGTGTGTGTGTATTTTATGGACAGAGTGACGCGTTTTTTTCTAGTATGGCTGACGGTTCGGTGGGTTTCGAGTAAGTTGACGTCCGTTATTTGTCAAGCAGACCACCAGAATGGAAACATAACAACAACTGCAACAACAGGATTGAGGCCCGTGATGTGTGCAGGGAGTGTACATGGAAAGAGCCCATCATTGGTGTCTCGTAGAGCAAAGAAAACGCCGAGGGAGGTGATAGAGTGAAGCAAAAGCTGAGGAATTCGAGTAAGTGGCGGTATGGTAGTAAGTGTGTCGCAAAGACGGATGTTGCGCCCGTGGATAAGTGACGGCGCCCGCTGCTAAGTTCGTCTGAGAAACCACGAGCTTCAAGATGGTGGAGTTCCCTCGGCATATGGACTAAGCTCCAGCTGCGTAGATGGGCTAAGCAAATGCGAGGGCAGACTGATCTTTTTTTTCCGTGCCAAGAAGGACAATGATTGCCGTCGTGTCAGTCAACAAGTATACAGGTATACCACATCGTCTTTTTTTGCGACTCGTCTGTTGACCTCGTCTTTTTTATGGCACGTGATCCCTCTTTTACAGACATAGACAGGGGCGTGAGTGAGCGAGTGACCTGACGTCAACTCCGACATCTTCTCACCAATCGATCCATTTGCACAACCCGCGAGTCAAAAAGTCGCAACGCATCCAATTTGTAGCGATACAAGAGGAGAGTCCCCTTCTTCGGTCCCAATGGCTCCCGTTGTTTGTCTCCTTCCGATAACCTCAGGACTGCGTCGTGGTCACTTCTTGTCGCGAACGATCGATCCGTGAGAAACCCACACAACTGTCAACGGGTTCCGAGCGCGTGCAGGTTGAAGCTGACAGCGTCTGCGCAGGTTTCGAGAACGTGCCTCCAGCTGGGCGAAAGGTCGGACAAAGCTCTTGACGTGGGGCCATACGCAGGTACTTGTCACCTGCGCATTGGGCCATGCGGAGATCCTTCGCCGGTAGAAAAAGGTCGACCGCGTGTGACACGAGCGGCGGCGACGGAAGAACTGCAGCTACAGCAGCAATGGCGTCGCAACTGTGTAACTGCTTCCAGCGTCGCAGCAGCCAAAGTTCAACAGTGTGCCCAATCTGACCAAACCGAAATCTCCACGTGACTCGAAAGCTCTCGACTTGGGCTCTCGAGAGGATGCAGCAGAGCTCAGCACCACATCGTAAACTGCTTGACGCTGTCGTGGACGGATGAGATGGTCTTTCGCACCCAATGAGGCCGTCCATGCTTTGCCGCGGTACTGTCTTTTGCACGCACACTTTATAGCTGATAGCAGTCGCCAGCACAGTGCAATATCCAGCCACCCACAAAGCAGCGTTGCTGGTGAATGAACACATCCGCCTGTCGTGGTCGAGAAGCACGCAGTGTGTACAACATCAGCTTGCAATGACGCAGTCGTGGGATTGGCGGCACGAGTTTAAGCTCCGAGTCACACTCTACACAGCGTGCGACAAGGAACCCCACGGCAGTTGCATCCGCACAAACGGTCTCTGCTCCCCGCCATCGACTCGAAACGTTGACTGGAAACCAATCGACTCGAACAACTTCACAGCTGCACTCGAAAAACCGTCCGGGGACACAGGCGCGACCAGCGCTTGAGGTTGCAGCGGCTGCCGCTTGTAACTGGCTTCGACATCCTGCAACGCGACCCACGCTGTTTCCGTTAGCACTGGACAAGCACAAGCAGCCCCCTCACAAAAGTCCCTTCCCATCACTTGCCTGAACGACAGCAAGCAGAAGACGCCGCGCATAGCCCTGCCGCCGCTTGGTCTCCACAATGCCAACGTACTCGACCAGCACAATCACATGTCCGCCTTCTCCGCCCCCTTCCTCAGCACCAACAGCAGGACGCCAACGAGCGACACCTATAGGTCCGTCCCCAACTGCACATGAGACACAACACGCCGTCCGTCACGTCCAATAGAAACTCAACTACATGAGAAACCCCAACCGCCACCGGATGCAGTCGTCGGTTGTTCACGCGCAACTTCAGTCTGCGCTTCGTACCGAATGCGACCAAATGGTGCGATGTCGAATCGTCCGGTGCATCAGTTGCCATCGAGGGGAAAATCCGTCTTCGCAGTAGTCGGATAAGTGTCCACAGCGCGTTGTTCGTCCGCTCAACTGCAGCGCCTAACGCCCCACTGCCGTCGCGCAGCTGATCGTCGAGTCGCTGTACCGTGAACGCAGACGCAGTGTATCGTCGCTGCATCATAATGAACAAACACATGGACACATGTGAGTAACTGTGCGCATCGAGAGAGTGCGTCACGTCAGTGTCGGCCAAGTCGGACGAGTTTGTCTTATTTTGGGTTCCACCTGAAAGCACTCGTAGACGCGACTTTTGCCCGTGTGACCACATACTGCGCACTTGACGCCCTGTCGGATCACCACACACAGAGCACAACATGGTCAATTACTTGTGCTGCTCCTTGTAGGACGACTGGGCCCGTACTTGCACGTGGTCGTGTCCACAGACACTGCAGCGGTAGGCCACGGCCGTCATTTTCGATTATCGGTCGACGGAGCTCCGATTCGTTTCTTATCTGGTTTTCGAGATACTATCCGCTGCACTATCGACATCGACTAAGTACCGTTTGTCGCCCAAAACTATCCATGTAAGTATCCATTGCGCCTACATGTCGGCGCCCAACGCCGTCGACGTGCGTCGGATCGCAGCGCAGGTGGCGGCGCTCGAACAGCAGCGCGCAGAGGGTACGTTGCCCCACGACGACAAGCCGCTTCGCCTCTACCAAGTGAACAGCAGCAGCGGCTTTGTGCGTGTCCTGGATCAGCATCCAGAGCCCATTTCCCAGGACATGGTACCGGACGTGGTCAACAAAGTGCTTTTTTCATTTACAGGAGTGTGCCGACAATAACGTGCTCTAATGTGTGTGCAATAGCTCGATGCGATTAGCGCATTCATTGCGAAGACCGCGGAACAGAGCGATCGACACGAGACGACCGTAGCTGGGGAGAAGACGAAGACAGAAGCAGACGAGACGACGCGTAATGAACCGACAGACGCCGTGACAGTCGTTCGCGCAGCAGACACTCGACATGAGCACGAGAAAATCGATACCGGCGACGATACCGTTCGCGTTTGCGCTAACGGTAACGCTATTCTCGACGCTAACGTGAGCGTTACTGGGGACACTGTTCTCGCAAGTGATTGCGCTACGTCGGACGTGCATCGAGACACTCATTGTGTCCGCAAGAAGCCACAAGTACGTCAAAGTGCAGAGGACATTCCAGTGCTATTGTCGCCGCCATGGGACAGCGCTGGAGCTGTGAAACAGCTAACGGATCTATTGGATTGCAACGAGAAAGTGAGTGACATTCTGGACAAAGAGATGGCGATCAACGATGGGATTCGGACGTTATCGGAGCCGAACGGTATCGTGGAAGACGACGATGATGACGATAATGATGACGATGGAGATCTGGTTGCCAAGAGTGAACACAAAGTTCTCGAATCAATGGATCAGCTGAAGCTATTGGAGCAGTGGCCACCGCAGCTAAAGGCGCGACGAAAGGTGTGGTTCGTGCCTCCAGTTGCTGGCAGAAAGACGAGGGACGTGCGTGTCGAGCATCGGTCGGTTGTGTATTGGATGCACAACACGCTGCGAGTGATGCAGGGAAACTACGGGCTCGAAGCTGCTATTCTGCTGTCACGACGCTTGACGGCACCGCTGGTGGTCGTGTGTCTCGTGTCGTCCTCTATTGTGCACCCGGTCTGTCACGCAACGACTGCAAGCGACGCATACGCAAGGTACTCGCTCGTCGAGCTGTATCAGCAGTTCAAGCAGGCTGGCGTGCCGTTCTTTGGTCTTACCGCTACAGAAAGCGAGAGACTGGAATTGACGCATGGTCCGCATGTGCTGTCTCCGAAGCCTCATCCGCTGTACGAGTTGATGGATGCATTTGAACCACACGCGGTGGTAACTGACGCTATGTTTGACCCCTCGGGTCGACGAGATGTGGCGCACTTGGCCCGTTACTTAGAGCTGCATCGATCTTCTTGCTCGTGGTCTTTGCTGTCAATGGATTCCATGACGTGCTGCCCTGCGTACCAACTGTCGAAGAAACTCCAGCGCACGTTTGAGCATGACAGCATGTTTGCCAGTGAAGAAGACTTCGGAGCCGAGTACGCATCATGCATGGAACCTCGCAGTGAAGTGTACGTCTTTAGTTCCTTGCCCCGTGCTGGCGCGCTGGATGCCGCTGCGAATAAACGACATTCGGAAATGGTGTCTGCTGTTGTGCAACGGCTCCACTTGGAAGAGATCAACTGGCAAGTTGTCAGGGCAGAAAATGTGCAGTCAAATGCTCGGATGCGACGGTTTAGTGAAGGAGAAGGGCTCCAGAAGCTGAGCCAGCTTTTGTCCGATCGAAGCAGCCAGCCAGCGATTCAGACAGAGCTGCACGGCGGGGGTGTCCTGAGTCTATTGCCATTCATTCGTCATGGCACATTGTTCGTTGGCTACGTTTTACGACGCATGGATGAAGCAATCACTTCGTGCCCGACCCCGACGACCCCGCACAAACGAAAAGCGCTTGCGATGCGGAAGGTAAGCGTGAACGAGCTGTCTGGTTATCTCTCTGCCGGCAGTCGTTGTTGTAACGTGTTTGCTGGAACGTCTGGTTTGCCCAGGTCATGCGGTCTCGAGCCGCGCATCACCTAGCCAGAGAGCGCGACTATGCCCTGTACTTGTCCCTCTGGTCGACATCGAGCACCTCCATGGATCCCGGTGGATCGGGTCCAATCGATATCGCACTGCTCTCTACAAGCGAGATTATTGCAGGACTAAGGAGCGACGCACCCCGACCCTCGTCTTTGTACGTTGATGGCTTCCATGTCCAACTTTGTGCACTCGAGAGACGCTAACGGGGTCGTCATTGTGTATAGGGAGGCGTACCAGAAGATACTGCCTGCGTGGGCTTGCAGCGCAGCCAGAATGGCGGACAATTGCAACGACCACGTGACGGGTGCAGCCAGCTACGATCCGTTCGAACTAGAAAGTGCACGAACAAACGATTCTTACTGGAATGAAATCCAAAAGTTGCTCGTCGAGCAGCAGTATTTGCACCCTCTCTTGATTGTTTACTGGGCGTACCGAGTATTCACATGGAGCGTGTCTTGTCGAGCAGCGGTTGCGGTAAGTCGCGATGGAGTCATATTTGTTGTGCAGGCACATGTCTGAACAGTCCGTGGTCCTCTGTCTCTTGCAGACAGTCGAATCTCTCATTTCCCAGTGCGCGCTCGGGTCGTGCGGTTCGCCTGATGCTGTGTTTGTCGTATGGAAATTGCTGTTTCGTCTCGGATCAAACAGCACGAACGCGACCAGCGTCGGTGACAGCAAGACAAATGCAACTCCAGAACATCTTCGGCAATTCCAACAGACTCTAGAGAACGAGCTCGCGTCGCAACCAAAGCTGCAGCTACGTTCGTAGTCGAAGGGGAGTCAGTGCATCCGGAAACCAATTTACATCTACTCGTCGTGGAGGCGATGCTTCCAAACGTGATCACCTTGTTTTTCAGCATCACTGTTCCGTGCAGGAGCCGTTTTGTTGCAGCAATTGCGCGGAATCGACGAGCGACTTGCAGTGGTATGCGTCCACTGCAGGCGATTTGTTGCAACAGCATCCCCATTTGAGTCAGCACGTATCATCCAGCGCTGTCAAGCCGTTGAGCACGTAAGCATTGGCCTATACCCGCAGCACGTCACACCATCACCCTACCTTCGTCTTGCAAACGAAGGAGTATGTCGCGCGTCCAACCCTCTGTAGCAAACACAGTGACGGCTCGCTTCTAGATGCAAAGCTGAGTCCAGAGCGGTACGCCAGCCATATCGATCAGTGCTTGAGCCGTCTTGATCAGACAACTCGTTTCGTGAACATGGATAGAGTTATCTCGCAAAGCCAACGAAACAAACTTTGGTGCCGCCAGCTTGGCGTTCCATCCGAAAGAGATTCGTACTCGACAGAGCTATGTGTAGGCGTGCAGGCAGAGCTATGTATGTCTGCACGCCAGCAACTGCACCTGTCGCAACGGAATCATAGCAACGTATTTTCGTCATCAGCATCGTCACTAGACATGTCGATCGCATGATCAAGCCCATCTTCGTCCCCAAAATGACGTTCGTGGCAAACAGCGCATGCTCGTGGCCATAGACAGCCAATTGCGAACCATATTCGGCTTTCGATAGCAGGCTATGCAATCGCGGTAAAGCTTTCCACATCACGCGTGGGCTTGTACTTGCTGCTCGGCTTTTCAGCGCGCTGACTTTTCCTCCCGCTCTCAACGCGCGGCCTTTCATTGTACTTTCACCGTCATCTAGGTCGGAACAGGCTTTCCGTTCGAGCAGCAGCAGCAGCACCACGTCACAAATCTCAACGTAACTTGATCTCAACACCCAGCACCCATCGCATCGCCCCATGCGATCGTCGATGGAGATCACAGCATTTGTCAACGCTTTCCGTTGCGCCTGACTTGGCATCATACCGGGACAAGATCCGTCGATTCCACCCGAGCCAAACGTGGTGCGCGTGCGAGTTTTTCCGTCGTCGTGTCCCGATACTCCTCCACCGTGAAATTTTCGACAAGCTTTTTCCAGCCTGCTGCTGCAATCGAAAACAACGCGAGCAGTGGGCTGCGCCAACAAGCAAAGTAAGTCCGACGCAATCAAGCGTTCGCTTGCAGACTGTCGAGTGCGTACCTTGTTATGCGATCGAGCCAGCCGCGCTGCGGGGCGGCTCCGTTGATGTAGAAAATGTACAGGAACGCGTCGTGTCTCAGACCGTCAATCATGTAGTAATCTGCTCAGCACAGCCACGCAACGTGAGAAAAACAAGCAAGCGACCAGACAGCCAGTCGTTTCCATATTGCTGGCTTTCTGATCAGCCAAACAGTACCTTGCAAGTACCGCAAGTTCTGGAACCCGTGCTTCTCGTAGAAATGCCGCGCACTGAGATTGTCGGCTTTGACGTGGAGGTACACTGCGCCGCACTGTGGTTGACGACAGGCTTGAGCAATGCATTCCTGCAGCAACCTCGACGCAATGCCCATCCTTCTCACAGACGCTCTCGTGCCCAACGTCAGAATGTACATGATATGCGTGTGCGCGCAATCGTCCCGCTCGATCAAGTCCGGGTCCTCTACTTTACTCAGTGGCAGTGTGCTCGCTGTAACCGCCCCAAGAATGGTGTCGCTTCGTTCAGCGGCTGGTTCGACTGGCACGAGGTCGTGCATCTCGACTGCAAGACGCGCAAACAACCGACCACCTGTTTCCATCCATAACCCCCGAGCAGCGCCGTCGTAGAACGCCTGGTTATAGCGAATCGGGAACCATTCTTCGTGCAGTTCACGCACTTGCGGGATGTCGGGCAAGTCCAAGTCTCGGAAATGAATGACGCGCTGAGGTGGTGAGGCGCCTACTGCTGCTGCTGCTGCTGCCAATGATGAAGACAAGTTGGCAAATGTCGTCCCGTCCGTGTGGTCGGCTTCGTGGCGCACGTCCAGTGCCACAGCGCGCGGGGTCCGTTCGACTGCGGTTTCTGTCTCGTCAATCGACGACGTTCGGTTCATCTTGGTGACGAGCTCAACAACGAACGGACGCAAGTTCTCAAGTCGGTGAGACTGCATAGTTCGTGTCTTTTAGTCGTCCAATTCGTTTCCTTTCATACAAACGTCAAGTGACAAGAACCTCGGAGACTCCATCCTTTATTTCGGAAAAAAACACGCAATACTTTTCAGACGCTTTCGGCTGCCATCACCTGCGACGTGTGACACTCGACGAGTCAAACTTGACTGGGCTTTCGTCTGGCTCGGAGCCGTCGAACTCTGACGATGACGATGGCCTTTGTCCCGGTTCAAGGCGAGGTGCAAAATCTTCTTGACGCCCGTCGTAATGCCCAACTGCTGCATCTCGTTGACTGTCATCCACCGGATTTCGTCCGACTCGAAGGTGCTCAATAGCTTTGGCTCGTGCTTGAAGTGCAAGTGCTCAATGCCCATGTGGTGCTTCACGTGCGAGAAAACGTGCGTCAACTCGCCAACGTCGCGTCGATCTTCGAGTAAGTTGCTGGAGCGAGAGAGCGCTGACTGTCCGAGTAAGTCCGAGAGCCGCCTGTCCATGAACGTCTTCCGCTTGGAGAAAGAGGGGATCGTGTCGCCGTCGCTTATCTGTGTAGTGCACCAACGAGCAACAAGAATGACGTGAATCGCTGCACGCCATCACTACATCATCCAGTGCAGTAGCATCGCACCTTGCTATGGAGGAACTCCCATTGTCCAGCCAATAGACCTCCGTCGGGACGTCTTGACATGAGAAACTGCCAGGGAGACGAACAAGACGAGGATGCCTTGGTACTCGTTGCCTTCGAGGTTTCTCGCTCAGGTGCTCTTGATGTACTGAGAGGTGACGAAACCACTGCAACGCAGATGACCTCCTGTCTCGAGTCATTCTTTTTCGCCTTCAGTGGATACTTGGTGACCTTCGATCGAGAACAGCATCAACAAGACACATTTAGTCAGGCAGCTGGTATCCGTCAATGTCGAAGATACGTGCACCCAATCTTACTTCACTTTGGCTTTCATTCCACTCCATAGCACGCGTAAAGTCACAGATGGTGCATGCACTACTTGACTCAGTAGGCACCTCGGAAGCACTAAGGCTCTTGCTCTTGGGCGTGACAACGTGTTTCTCTTCGTATGCTAAACACACCGACTTGACAGGACAGTCGGAACATCGAGGGTTCTACATGCAGTCGAACAACGATACGTGACTTCAGAGCCGTGACCTCTTTCAACCGAATCGTTGACACATATGGCAGGGTGTATGCACTACCTGAACTGTGCACATTGTAGCCCCGAGCTCCATCAGTGCCTGGTTCAGCGCTCCAGGGCGGTCGCATCCACTCACGAGCTCGCTCGCTGTCTTCCACGAAAACTTGATCAGCTGTTTGTTCTTCGGGTCTGCGCCGACAGCCCGCATTCGAGCCATCACGCGAATCACATTGCCGTCTACTAGCGGCTCACGAATACCAAAGGCGATGGAAGCAATAGCTCCTATGCAACGTGCAACCACATCCATAACGTTAGGCTCTCGAGACACAACACCGAAAATAAGCGAGCGAGAGACAAGAGGGCCAGCGACGTGCTCTACAAACCTGCCGTGTATGGTCCAATGCCTGGTATCAGGAGCAATTGGTCAACTGTCGATGGCAGCTCTCCGCCATGATTATTCACCACATACTTCGCGCCAGCATGCAGCATCCTCGCACGTCGATAGTACCCCAGTCCTGCCCACAAAGCGTTCACGTCCTGCAACGACGTGGTCGTTCGTGTCAGAACCCACTTGCCTTTCATTAAAAACGCACAATACAAGTCAACGCCAAGTAGTGCCTACCTCTTCATGAGCTTCCGCGAGAGCAGCGACTGTCGGGAACTTGTCGATCCAGCGCAAAAAGTACTCCACCACAGTGTCCACGCGCGTCTGCTGCAGCATAATCTCCGACACCCACGTCTCATACGGTGACACGTTTCTCGGCTGAGCATCTTCGACCTGGGCGACAGCCATAGCAGCTTCGCTCGTGCTGTCACTCTTGACATTTTGCGTCCCTGACACCTTGAGAAACGACCGTAGCGCAGACGCTTGGACGGCACCAGCCCGTGTCTTCCTCTTCTTCTCCTTCTCCTGACTACTGTGTGTTGTAGTCGTCACATATGGCGGCGCGTCGCCTCGCCACGGAAGCTTTCGACGGTGCACGTCGTACCACTCGAGCAGCTCCGAGCGCACCGTTTGTAGCTCGTGGGACTGGAACTCGTGGCGCGAACCTTCGTGGGGAGACGACGAAAGCGCCGATCGACGCGCTGCTGCGTCGACATTGTCGGACTGGATCAGGTCTTCGACGTCCGGTTCCGTTGCGGTCTCAGTCGCTGAGTGACGCACTGCCGTGCGCGACATGTTGGTGGAAAGTGGATGGCTGGCACTTGCGCAGCAATTATAAGAGGCTCTGTGAAAACCGATAGCAACGGCGTCGACCGATCCATGCCCCCTGCGATGAGTTGTCCCTCCATGAAGTCATAACCTCCAGTAGGTGCTGGCTTTTAAATGCCCACCGACCTCCTGCTGTGGCCGGTTGCGTGACCATTGCAGCCAGAAGGAGCCATTTCCATCGCAGTCTGACAGTGATAGGCCTCGAAAACCCACTTTTGTGCGGCTTCAGCACTCATTTATAGTGCAGGCGGATAGCTCAGTCCAGTGTTGTCGTGAGCTGAGCTATCGGCCGGCACCATTCTGACCAGCGCATGTCAGTACGACGGTCGAGTTGGTCGATACAAGTTGGCCGACCTTCCCGTTCCTCTTTAAATACACCTCAACGTCTCGCTCACTTCCTCTCCTCGTCACAACCGATCGCATCCTACAGATACAAGCGGCAAAAGCATCGCCTGGAAGCCGAAATGACGCTGCCATCAATCGCTGGATCTCGGCTGTCGATTTAGGTCCACAGAGAGACTGAGCCATTACACTTGCAGTCTACCGATGATCCGCCATGTGCGACGCTGCATTGGCATTTACAAAAGACCCAGGCAAGCAATCCACCCATCCACTACAGAACTGCAGCTCGTACACCAAAGTCAAATGGCTCATCTCTTTGTCAAAAAGACGCAAATGATCGACCACATGGATCCAGCCTACGACTTCCCTTGCAATCCCATACTTAATAACCTCCGCCAAGTTGTAGCATACTTTCCATCCACTGAGCTAACAACGTTGCAAAAAAGAGCCCGAGCCCTCAACGCCGGAAGATCAAGTCGTCGTCTCGTTGTTGCGTAAGTTATTCGTTTGCTTGCAGTCCGTTGTAAATTACTGTCAGTGTGGTCGTCAGCCACAATGCCGCAGCGCGTAGCCGTCTTGTCGCACGTGAAGGCAAGCGCAACGGCTGTCCCGAGTTGCAGCAGCGCGCGCCGCATCGCGTGGCACGGCGGGAAGATATCGTCGAACAAGACAGAGGCGCTGCAGAAGTTCTACCAGCGCAAACTGCGTGCGGGCGACTACGTCGCGGCGCAGCAGATTGAGACGACGCGTGTGTAGAGCAGCTTTGGCTTTCGTATTTTACTGACTGTGACCGGCATAAATTCGCGAAATGTATTTTATCTAACGGATGTTGTTATTGTTGTTGTTGTTGTTGTTTTTTTGGACTATATGTAAATGGGTACATGAGTTGCAGTCAATGTGATCCCAAGTCAGGAAAAGTCGCGGGTCCACCCGCACTTGACAAAGACAAAGCGGCCGCTTTATCCGGACACACAGACGACACGTAGCACAACAAGTGGGCGCTGTATTGTGCTGAAGACGGGACGTGTGCTTGGCCCGAAGATGGACTCGAAGCTCCGAGCGCAGAAAGCAGACGCGCCTCGTCATGCGAAACAGCACAAGTCCGAGCCAGGGACGACGAGTAGAAAGGCGCCAAAGCCTGCGGCAGGTGTGACCCTGGAAGACAAGTTGGGACTGCCGCTGCATGCACTGGTGGGGGACAAGGCGAAGCGCACGCTCCGTGGCGTGAAGCGGCGGTGAAAGGTGCAGGAAACGCATCACAAGCTGAACACTTGGGGACTGTGTGTTGGCTGGTGGTGAGAGACGACGGACAAAGGTGGGCTGTGTGTGTTGGAGAAGCAGAGAGAAAGAGAGAGAGAGCGACTGCTGGAGCTTTGTGGTCGGTGCGTGTGTGAATGAAAGAGAGAGAGAGCGAAGAAGAAGGAGAAGAGGAAGCAAATGAATACTAGACATCACGATGTGTGTATATCGCTTGGGGCCAGTGCAACAACCTAAGCGGATCCGTTTGCTTTCAGAGATGACGCGGTAGCTGGCGAACGAAACGCAATCTTCAGCGCTTGTAGCAGCGTCGACACCTCGACAACAGTGAGCGTGTCGGCATACTTCCGGTGCAATGCACGACGCGTGGCTTCGTCGGGCACTTTGGGAATCACGCAGACCTCGAGCCCGATCTTGTGCGCTGCTGTGAGCCGTGATTCGAGCATCTTGACTGGACGCAGGTGACCTGACAGCGACATCTCGCCAAGAAACGCAGTACGCTCCACCACAGGACGGCCAAGAACAGCGCTGGCCAATGCGACGGCCAGTGCCAAGTCGGCCGCTGGTTCCTGGATCGTGTAGCCTTCGGCGATGTTCACGAAGACGCTCTGATTGCGGCAAGAGACCTTTGCACGCTTTTCCAGTACAGCGAACAGAAGAAGGAGCTTGTCGTACGCCACGCCGACTCCACGTACCCGGGAGAACGCGTGACTGCCGTCACGTCCAGCATCGACGTTATATGCCCGGTTTGCCAGGGCTTGAATCTCGAGCGGGAATGGCCGCTTCCCTTCGATTGCAATGGTCAGAGCGCACCCATCGAGCTCCGTCTCGACGTCGGCGCTGCTGTCCCGAGAGTCGTCTGGTCTGTCTTCGCTGCGTGCCGAAACGAACGCCATGAGAGGGTTCGGCAGCTGCTGAAGGCCTTCGTCAGTCATGTTGAAGACGCCGACCTCGTCGGTGCTTCCAAAGCGATTCTTCTGGCAGCGCAGGAAGCGCCGCGGACTCTGCGGGTCGCCTTCGAGGTGCACGACCGTGTCGACGATGTGTTCCAGCACCTTGGGGCCAGCAATGTCGCCACTTTTCGTCACGTGGCCGATGAGGACCACAGGCACGTTGCGCGACTTGGCGAGTCGAAGCAGCCGTAGCGTGCACTCTTTCACTTGGGTCACGGTACCCGCTGGCGAAGGAACGTCTGCTGCGTACACGGTCTGGATCGAGTCGATGACCACAGCCCCAAAGCCTCGGTACGTGTCGCGATCCACGTCAGGTCCGCAGCCAGTGTCCAGCAGCTGGAACACCGCGTCGAGGTTCGTCTCGCTCGCCACGAAGAGGCTGTCGCTCACGAATCCAAGACGTTCGGCTCGCATCCGCACTTGAAGCGCCGTCTCTTCGCCCGACACGTACAGCACTCCTGACTCTCGCATCGACGACTTGTTGGCGAGCATATTGGCCATCTGCAGTGCGAGCTGTGCAAGACAATACAAGAGAGAGAGAGCGAAAGAATCAGCAAGAGCGGTGTCGTGTCGGAGACATGATCCAGCAGCTCTGTGGGTCTACTGCGAGGGCTATCGATGCAGCAATTGGGGACGCACCGTGCTCTTGCCAACGCCAGGATTGCCAGCCAACAGCGTCATGGAGCCGGCCACGATACCTCCGCCCAGCACCCAATTCTACGACAAGACCCCCACGTGAGTTGTCAGTCCCGTTGCTCCACTCCCTCAATGCCTCGTGCATCTATCGTACCAGCTCACGGTCCGGCAGCTCTAAGCGCTCAACGGCCGTGTGGACTTCGACCTCATTCATGCGTCGAGCACGGGGCACGTGCTCGACAAGTGCAGAGAGGTCTGAAGCCACTGAAGCCACTGAGCGCTTGGACGGCGAAGTTCGCGTGAACGACGTCGACGACCCATTTGACTGGCGATAGAACGGCTGGTCGACCGCAGCGGAGACGACGGAACCCCATTGCGAGCACGACGAGCACTGCCCCTGCCACTTGGCGAACGACTGGCCACAGTGCCGGCACTCGAAGCCGTTCTTAGCCGCCGCCGACGAGGCGAACCCGCGCGCGGACACAGCAGCAGCACAGCGATTAGCGCCATGCGGGAGACGCCAAAGCAGTTGGGGGACGCAAGTTGTTGTCGCTGGAAGGAGCGCCCGATGGCGACGGAATGCCAAAGGAGCAGCTGCTGCTCGACACAGCGCTGAGGTGTTCATGTACATGTCAGCGGGTGGAGAGCTCCAGAGAGCGCGTGCGACAAAGTCGGACATCGGTCGGTCAGTCGGTCGGTCGGACGACTGCGACTGTAGGACCTGACGAGGTCCAAAAAGGGGTCCGACGACCACCACACACAGAGGCAGTTGTGGGCTCGGGGGTCGCACGGGACAAGCGACGACTGGGTCCTGTCTGTATTGCTTCAGGGACGGGATCAGCGGTTGTATCGGTGGACGAACAGGTGGCAGTTGTTGCGTTTGCTGAAAAGGTGCGGACGATCCACAAGGACTATGAACGTGTTGGCCATTGTAGTCGGCACGTGACTACACTGACTTCTGCAAAATGGTTTCGTCCGTAGCGAACGAGCAGCACGAGGCGGTCAGGGGGTCAACACCTGTCACGCATTTGATTTCCATACCCACCGACCGATCAAACATCAAAAGCGCACCCGTTGTCTCTTGCGGCTCTCCGGACGAGTGCACTATTGCAGCAAAGTCCGTAATGTCTGAAGCAAACCGATGAGCTTCGCACCACATGCGTCGAGTCAAGTGACCGGTTGACAGCTGACTCTGTGCATCCGTTCGTTTTCGGTTGGGGTACATCGTTCGCTGCACGTGCACTCATTTCCGTTCTTGACGCCGTCCACCAGCACTCGTGTCGACAACATGGGCAACAACGCTTCGCTTCCCAGAGACTTCACCGCACGGCACTTGTCGTTCCAGGAGCGCACCGTCACGACTCGATGGACTGCAGCAGAGATGCGACTGCTGCGTGAGACGTTCAAAGGCCTCGCGAAGTCGACGGGCGGCACGAGCGTCGACAAGAAGACGTTCCTCACGTGTTTTCCCATGCGTGGCCTCCTCGGGGAGCGGCTGTTTGCAGTCATTGACAGGGACAGCTCCGGGGCCATCGACCGCCACGAGTTCATCAACGGCCTCGCGATTCTCTTTCGCGGGTCTCGAAACGAGCAGCTCAAGTTCATGTTTGACCTCTACGACCTCAGCGGGTGCGTTCAGTTGGCTGTGCTTATTTTCACTCCCCGTTAGCTGTAGCTGTTGCGAGACGGAGAGTGCTAACGAGGTACGTGCACTCCAGCACCCGCTCCATCTCCCGATGCGAGCTCAAAACGATGCTGTACCAGTTCCCGTTGTCAGCGTTCGAGTCCATCCAGCTGACAACCGACTGCCGAGACGTCAGCAAGTGGCCCGGGACGTTGACGCCATGCAACGTGGTGCGTAGTACATGAAGCTGTGCTCACCACCGCACGGATGACATCTGTATGACGCAGCAGACGGTGGCTGTGCTGTTTGTGTGCCTAGAGACACGTGATTGAGGCGTTAGTCGAGTCGGCGTTTTCATCTTCATGGCCATCAAGCACACGCCTCAACTTTGACCAGTTCTGTCACTGGTGGGAGAACACCGCAGGCGTCGCGAACGTACGTCGCCTGCAGGTGATCTTCTTGTTCGTCTGCCTGACTCACGTACATTGTCATGTCCCGGTTGCAGTTCATGCTGAGTGTCCTGCCTGTAGAACATCACGCTGTCCGAGATGCTGCACAAAGGTTCCATCGTACCAATGCAGCAGCACTCGCGACCTCAGCAGACAAGTAGGTGCATCGCAAGCTGATCCCACCGTCCATCGCATACGACGTCTCACGTTTCGTTCTTGTGCTGCTTTAGCTGTACGCGACAGCCTGAACGTCTCGGTCATGATGGACGTCAACGACCTTGCAACAAGCAACCTCACCTATGCACAGCTTTGCACGTCAAGTACGTATCATCATCTCGTACGCCTGTCATGTGCGCCTAAACACTCTGACGCTGCGCTATCGTCAGCCGTTTTGCCGCACAGGCAGACGCAATGGCCTTTGTCGACAGACCGGGTCGAAAGGAGCTGGCAATGACTTGCACTGTACTGCCGAAAGCTTTTCCCACTTGCCATGTCGACAGTGTGACGATAGCGTGGCCAGTCCAAACAGCAGTAGCTCGCGTGGACGACTCGTGCCGGATCACCGGTGCTCTGTGGAAACGCGGATCACGTCTCCGCAAGATGATCAAGCGCCACTACGTCTTGCGGGGCAATTTCCTGTACTCTTACGCGTAAGTTCATGCTCGAGCAGTTGCCAAAAGCTTGATACGGGCTCAGGAGTTCTGACCTGTGCCTTGTGTAGCTCATCGGACGAGCCAGCGCCCCGTGAAGTGACCTTCTTGAGCAACTGTTACGTAAGCATGCAGCCACTGCAGCGCGAGGTCGTCGAGAATGGCGTGCACTACTTCGGCATCGACATTATCCCCGAACCAGGTAGTGCGCGTGACAAGCGAACCGTGTTTGCCCGCTCGCAAGACACGCAGCAACAATGGGCAGCTGCCTTGCACCAGGCGACCGAGAAGATCTCGATCGATGAAGTGTACAGCGTTGGCGCGCAACTTGGCCGTGGACGGTTTTCCAAGGTATGCGAAGCCACGCACAACCACACGGGCGTCAAGTCGGCCGTCAAGATCATTGACAAGAGCACGTTGAGAAGCCACGAGAAGGAGCTGTTGCGGACGGAGATTGCCATCTTGAAACTCGTGCAGCATCCACACGTCATCCGGCTGCACGATGTGTACGAAGACCGGCAGCATATCTTTATTGTCATGGAACTCGTGTCGGGCGGTGAGCTCTTCAACCGGATCGCCAAGCGAGTGCGATACACAGAAGCGGAAGCTCGTCTTGTCATGTACCAGCTGCTCGAAAGCGTGCAGTACTTGCACCAACTAGGTATCGTGCATCGAGACCTCAAGCCCGAGAACATACTCTGCGGTGACGCCCTGACCGATGTCAAGATTGCAGACTTCGGGCTATCCAAGCTTGTGTGCCCGGACGAGCTCATGAAAGTGCCTTGTGGAACGCTGAACTATGTGGCCCCAGAGGTGCTCGCTCTTACGGGCTATGGACGCGAAGCTGACCTCTGGTCGCTCGGGGTCATCATGTACTTGCTGCTTCGAGGTGAGCTTCCTTTCAGCGGAAGGACCAAAGGCGATGTCATCCGGAAAACTTTGCACGCAGTCGTTGACCTCGAGACAGATCGGGCTTGGAGACGCGTATCGGTCGCAGGAAAGAATCTGCTGCGGGGTCTGTTGACAAAAGACCCCGCGAGTCGTCTCACCGCTCAAGATGCGTTGGTGCACGACTGGTTTCGCAGTGACTTGCTGTGACCGTCAAGGCTACGTCCGTGACAAACTGCGTGAGCAGTAGTCCAAAGCAGGCCACTTGCCTCTTGTTTGCCATTGACTCAACCGGTGCAACCGCCCGAGTCGAAAGAGAACTGCAGTCGTCAGCAACGGTCGATCGTGAGAGGCCTGCGTTACCAAAGTACTTGTAAACCGCCTACGTCAATGTAAAGATACTTGTTAGACGCAACCAAAACTCGAATAATCAAACGCTCACTGCTGCAACAGGCAACATCCACAGCTCTAAGCTGCAGATACTTGAGCAGTATTGACACAGTGGAGCACGAAGTTCGCGAGGCGGCTCCCAGAACAACATGCCTTCACGCTGGTCAAAATACCCATCGATCAGTCAAGAGACACGCACTCAAAACTTGCTATGCAACAATCATGTATCACTTCGTTCATCCTGACTGGGGTGACCAGTACAAGTGCCAACCGCTCACACTTTGCTCGACTGCGTGTGTAACGCGCTGTAAATGTATCTGCTGTGCGGCATCTTAGAACTTGCCGGGACGCTTTCGACCCGTGAACTTGCTATCCGCCTTCACTTTCTTGCCCTGCTTGCGGTATCGCTCCTTCTTCGCTATTACCCAGTCCCTACAAAAAAAAGAGCCAAGCAGCTACGAGTGAGCAACACGACTAGCTACAGCTACCTTGTCGGTGCAAGACCAATGACAACGTACTTGGCTTTCACGGTTTCACGCCCCTTGCCTCGGCGTGGCTATGCAATCAGCAACAACACACATCGCGTTTACGATCGTTCACCAAACCTCCAAACCTCACCACACAGCTTCAGCCGCGCACAAAGGAATACCAATCAAACGCACCCGTTGGTTCCTACCGCGTCCTTCGTACGAGATCTCGTTTGCAGTGGCTCCTACACCGAGACCTTGCGGGACCTGCTGCTGCTGCGCGTATCCAGCAAACAGACACAAGTAGAACTTCTTGGCCTTTGCACTGTTGGGAAAGTCAATCACGAGACCGCCCGAAAAGCCGCAGCGCATGGCAGTGCCCGAGATCTCTTCCATCTGCTCTGGCGTCTCTGGATACAGTTGCAGGACGGCGCGACTGCCAGCCTTCAAGCACGTAAACAGCGACGTGAAGAAGCGCGTAAGGCGCTTCCGAGCCGTGTGCTCCTTCTTGTCCGAGTAGCAGAGCCACTGGACGGCCGAGATACTGATGCAGCCATCAAACACACCCGGACGGAACGGCAGCCCGCCGCCCATGTCTTGCAGAAACACGTCGCCACTGCTGTCTCGCTCCGAGGCGATTTCGAGCATATCGCGGCTAATGTCCACACCGACCCACGCGTGTCCGTGCTCCTCGAGCGCCACTGCAGTGATTGCACCACGGGATGAACAACTGCGTCAGAGAGCAAGTCAGAAAGTCCGAAAGCAATGGGCGTATGACATCGGACCTCCACTGAGACCGCTGCCACAGCCAACGTCCAAGACAAACGCCTCTTGGCCTGCAGGCAGATTCAGCAACTCGATTGCTCGATTCGACAGCTCCTGTTGCACTTTGACAATGCGCGAGCTCGAGTTGTACTTGGCGGCCTCTTTCTCATTGTAGTACAGCTGCAACAAGACACACACACAGACGGACACGTATGATGACGACGACGATGAGGACACATGACAGTGGGGTGTACGTATATGTATAGTATATGTGTGTATATGTACAGAGAGAGAGAGAGAGCGGTGGACGCACTTCTGGCGGAGAAATGTGTTCGGGACGACTCATAGCGTCGGCGTCTGTCTGCACCACGAACCAGCGATTCTCAGCTTATGTTGCTCGCGAGCAGCTGGTGCGGCGGTATGTTGCACGTTGGGCATCCCGACCGACATGGTTTTGTGCAATGTGCTTTTTCTATCTCGCGGCGCTTTTTAGGACAGGCAGATACAAAGCGCATGTCAACTACTGTGCGTCCTTAAAACAAGAGACTCAGATGACCAAACGTCGAGTCCCAGTTGACGCGAGTCAGCATTGCATTCGCTTTTCTTCACACTGGAACGCACGCTTGGGATTTGGTATCCGTAGCAACACACTCGACGCAAACGATATGGAGCTCTACAGTGGCAAACAACACATTTTTCGCTGCGCTGCTGTTGTGCACTACGACGTCGTCTCTGCGGCACTCGCCACATTGCCAACAATTGTTCTCCATTGCGTCAATGTAACTTTTGCTCGTTCCAACTTCCAGCAATGTGTCCCCCCATTCCTTCAGCGGCAATGTCGAATCGCCACACCTGTCGGCTGCTCTCCTCGTGCAAACGGACGCCAGATGCTCCACGAGGCGCTGATTGGAAGTGTACCCTTCGCTCACTGCCCTTCGCTTTTCTGCAATCCTTTTGTTGCTGCCAACAGATCCCCTTAGCAGTGACCGCTTCCACACGCAGTCGAAGCAGTGCGACCCAAGTATCGCTGGAGCAGCGCCTGACGCTTTTCAGTGGCAATGCCACTGCTCTTCAGCGGTACGCGATACGCTGACTGGCCTCGCACAGGAGCAATCTTAAAGTCGCCCAGCAACTCCGGGCACTGCTTCAACCCCTCACCGATGTGCTGACACTCGTTGAGGAGGTCAAACGCCGTCGAGTGGGGTACCACCGAGTCGTGACGGTAATCGGGGTGGGCGCGCACAAAGCGACGCATCCAGGTAGCAGCCGTCGGCAACTCGCCTGTTGCCCGCTTGCCAATGAGGGACATGTAGTTCTCCACGAGTGTCCGCGTGGCTTCGTCGCACTCAATGTGGTCCAAGTAGGCGTAGACAAGAGGAATGAGACCCGGGAAGTACGAGCCCTTGCCCAACATGATCTCGGCAATCGTCATCAGCTCACACGCATCGGGGTCTTCGTGCAAGCGACATGTGTCGCTCAGCAGGCAATCATCGACTTGCGGTGGCGCCATGTGGCAACGAAAGTGGAACTTCTCGTCCAGCACTGCGTTCACACGATGGGCAGCCTCCATGTTGTCATTCACCTTGGACAGCGGAGTGTACAGGTTTAAGTCAAACGTCAGAATGACGCGCGACACGAGCGCGATAAACACTGTAAACGCAGCGTTCTCAAAATCCGTGAGCTGGATCTCCATCGAACGAAACTCGGTGCGCCAGCCGATGTGAGGTCCCTCAGTGCTCGACGGGGCCGGCGGGGGCGGTTTCCACCGCACAGTCTGCCAGTTTGTCGACTGAATGTTCTCAAAGTGGTCCGTCTCGCACTCGTTGTCCAAGTGCAAGCGTTGCTCGTAAATGACCAAAGGATCACGGATGAACAAGTGCGAAATGTGGAGCGCGAGAAGACGGTCCACACCCGCGTCCATCAGGGTCTTGTACGAGCCCTCGTCGTACGGGATCTCGACGTCATTGTACTTGTCGGTTGACGTGTGCGGGTCCTCGCCTTGCTTGTGATTGCAAATGAACGCCGAGATGCCTTCATAGCGAGACTTTGGCAGACGTTTGACACCGTTGCCGGCCATCTTGGCATACTTTGCCACCGTCTCTGGATCTGTTGGAGGCGGGGCCTCACCCAGTTCTTGAGGCGTTCGGTCGTCCACTGCAGCAGAAATCGTGGCCCAGCGCACATCCGTGTCGGCGAGTCGACCTTTCAAGATGGGCGTCGCCGCCGTCAGTGCCAGCAAGATGGGCGAGAGAACGCCCAAATGATCGTACAAGTGCCTTGACTCGCCCACGTTCTTCGCCTGGAACGTCACCTGTAGACAGCACATGCCCATGCCAAAAGCCATCGCGTCCATGTGGATAAAGCCGGGGTACGGCTCAGCCATGTGGTCCGAGTCCAGCGTCGCGAGCTTGCGAGCAAATTGACTCGGCTTGCTGTCCATCGCTCTCTCTTCCGCCGTCCGTGACGGCGATGCTTTCGACTGGCCATTATCGTCCGAGTTGGCCGTCGAGCTCGGCGACGCCGGCACCGAGCCAAACGCGTCCTGCACCAGCGCCAGCACGTCTCGCTTCGACTCGTACTTTGGCCGCGATTTTTCTGCAGTCCACGTCGCGTCCGCCTGCTCTTCTTCCAGCCTCGCTTCCGTGTACACGTCCTGGAAGATCGGGACGCGAATGTCCACTTTTCGCGTCCGGCGCTGCCGAATGTTCTTCGTCAACGTCGCGAACCGCGGGTGGGGATTGATCACTGCGTCGCTGACATAGTCCGACTGGGCCACTGGACCCTGCGACTGGCTCGACGGCACGGTACAGTCCCCGACGCCCATCATGGGGAACGCCGTGACCGACGGCGCAATTTCGTCCTCGTGCAGCAGCGCCAAGAGCCGCGCGCGACGGAGGCGCATGTTGGCCTCAACTTTGCGCAGGTCACTGGTAAAGCCTCCGTAGGGGGCGCTGGGCGTGCCTTCAATCATCCACGCGCCGTACTCGGGGACCCAGTTGCACCCGTCCACACACAGTCCAGCAGCTACTGTAGCTGCTGCAACAGCCGTTGGACTACCGCCGTCGGGCCGCCCGTGCTCCTTCGACTGCTTCTCTTTGGCCTGCAACTGCTGCAGAATCTCTGCGCCGCGGAGGGCCAATCGCGCGCGTTTCCTGTCGCGGTCCACGTGGAACACGCCGTACTCGAGTTCGTCGCCCCACTTGAGCTCGTCGCCTTCAATGTCCTTCACGCGGTGGTACGTGTGCAGGAACTGGTCGATGCCCTGCGTGCGGACGTGTTGTAGCCACTCGAGCGCATCGGACCAGTCCAGTGGTCGGCCGGCAACGAGCAGTCCCATGTGCGGCACAGAGAGAGCGGCGGAAGAGGCACTTGTGACTGGCCGCGCGAATCGACGAATGACGAGGCGGAGCGGAGATCGAGAGTGGGTCCGAGTCCCAAGTAGTGGGAGTCGCTGGATTTGGGCTTTGGGTGTTTGGGTGTTTGGGTTTTGGTCATGGGTGTTTACGTTTTGGTCATGGGTGTTTGGGTTTTGGTACGATCCAGTGAGAAAGGGCGCGCGACAGATGCGAAACGTCGCTGAAAGCCATGACGACTGGTGGCTTTCGTACCGGTTTTTGAGGGCAGATCGCGGGACGAGCGGTGGAAAAAGGCAACGAGAGACGGTGACAAAAACCAAACGAAAGTCTCCCTGTGCGCGGCAACGATCGAGCGGATGACGTTTGTTTACGTCATCGAGTAACGCACGGCCGAAGCGTAACAAGATTCAGTCAAACTCTCTCTCTCTCTCATGCTATTTGCGAGTGCCAGTCGGAAGCAGTTGCGAGATGAGGAGCACGCCGAACTCGCTTTGTCTCGAGGCAAAAAAGTGCATTGCTGGACAGGGTCTTGCGAGTTCCAACTGCCTGCAAATACTCGACGGTATAGAGAGGCACTGACAGTGTGCAGCTCGTCGCGCATGATGGACACGTGGGAGAGTGTCGTTGATCCCGTCATCTTGTGGGTCGGAAGAGCGGGAAAGCTGGAGCCACGACGCTGTCAGCCGCGATGTTGACCGCCTGCACGGCCTGCACAGCTTTGCAGCTTGTGGCATAGTGGACGTCTATGAACCCCAAAGGCTACTGGATCGAAGCTGTGTCGACTGTACGATCTTGTGGCCGCTATCTTTTGGACGCGCCCGCCGTCTGCTCACTGCACGATCGGCAGCTCCGACTGCAGCGATGCCAACATGTTGATCGACTGTCACGCAGCAGTAGTTGTTGCCTCTGATTGAAAAACAGAGAACCGTCGCGAGTTGATCACACTGAGCTCGCAGTCAACATCGACACAGCCTGTTTGGATTCGATCGGAAGGCTGTAGACGGCCGAGTGCATTGCAGAACTGCAGCACGTGTCGTACCCTCGCGCCCGCGTTGGTAGGCCAACTGCCTCAGGCCGTTTGTTGTCGTTCAGATTGCACACAGACGTACCGTACAGTGCAGGTCAGCTAAAGTCTACGGTACAGCACTGCCGGAACGATACGTAGACGCGCACATACACTCTTGTGACACGTTACCACACTGCACAAAACGTCCTGTCACATCTACGAGAATGAGGTGCCACTGGAAGGGGAATGGAAGATATGCCCATCCGTCCGCCCTAAAGCTGCGTGTCACGTTGACAGGAACAGGTACACAACGTGGCCGTATCTGTAGCTCTTGTATGCTGCTGCAGCGTAACATCGTGGCAGTAGCCTCTACTACCGACAGCCGCAAGCAATCGTTGGCAGCAAACGCACGGAGGGGATGGAATCGTCGCGCGTACTTGGAACAGCTATAGCACGAGTAGCTCTCTCATGCGCTCGCTGTCGCGATGTGGGCGCGCATCCGTGTACAGCACGCCCTAAGTGACTGACCGTTACCTGTCTGGATGTACCACTCGCTGGTAGTCCAACGACTGTGTCTATCGGTCTACGAAGTACATCCGGTTACGAAGCAGCGCCGTCTAGCCGAAGCTTCGCACCTGAACCGGATACAACGATTGCATCCGCGATGCGATCTAGACCTGCTTAGGCGTTGGACTGCTACGCCTCAGACGAGGGCCACGTCTCTAGCAGCAAACACATTCGATAAGTTGGACAAGTCGTCCTGTTCCACGCAAAACCCAGTCAGGCCACGGTACTTGGAATCGCGTACGGCGTCACGTAGTAGTTGCAGCACGATGCAATGTTTCGTACCGTATCTTCATACCTGGTGGTTGCTGCCACGTTGTTTAGGTCCAGGACGTGTGCGGGAAGCTCGGGTGACCACGTTTCCGATGCTTGGACCGACCGGCGAGCAGGACCCCAGACGGTGGACGTTGTTGGAAAGGGGGTCAGTCACGCTTGTCGTCAACCTGCGATCCCACAGAGACTTAGTGGCCACTTGAACAACTGACTTTGCTAAGACGCCACGACATGCCCTTCTCCCTCAACAAACCGTCAACGTAGGAAGGATGCAGACACTGTCTCTGAGCCTATTCCTTCTCAAGCCTTCTCACTCGATGACTCATGCACTTTCTCGCATCTCCGGCACCACAAACTCAGTTGCAGCACCACTACCGCTTGCAACAGCAGATGAAACGGCAACGATTTCATTAGCAGTACTTAGAACGAAGAGAAGTCTGCTGCATGTCAATACGTAAGAGTTCGCAGGGTCGATATTGAGTCAACGTCGTCGTCTAAATAGGCGCCGTGCCCACAGATCTCGCGCTAGAGATACCTTCTCTCCGTGTGGAGCCGCTATGCATGCGTCGAGAAAGATGCGGCAGTCGGTAAGCTGATTATGGATCATTGAAACGGTCTGCACCTCCACATGTGTCCCATGTTGTCTTTCAGGTGCGTTTGCATGACAGACACATCACGTTTACGATATGTGTGAATAGACACTGCGTTTCCTTCGCTTGGCACAACCCGTCATGTAACAAAGTGTCGAGGGCAAAAACGCTGGGCCGTGTACTCGCGAACCTGGGAAAGCTCGAGAATACAGTCGGTACAGCTTCGTCGCGCAGTCAAAAGGTCGACGCATTCGCCCGTAGCAGTCATCCGGTGCACATATGGCATACTCGCTAAAGCGAGAGCTTTATGTGGTCTTGCACCCACGTGAGTCGGAAGAGCAAAGACTGACCGTGCTTAGCAGTGTGTACTCTACGGGGCCAGGAGCGCAATAACACCACCACACCCTTTCTTGTCAGACGCCGTTATTTGATGCTTATTCCAAAGCTCAACTCGATTCCGTTATCAATATTGGATCACTTTACCAAAGGGCGAGCCTCACAGCTTGCTTCTTCATCGTACCAAGAGCATCAATGTCAATCTGGGGTGTGTGGCAATAGCAAGAAGAGCTTGGAAGTTCTTGCTATGATGTGGTGATCTATCACGTAAATCAACAGGTAGTTCCGCTCTTCATATGTTCAATTGCCCAACTTTTGCATCCGACCTCTCTGGCAGACACCTTGACGGTACATACGTCACGAAGGAAGCTTCTGTCTGCTGCAGCAGAGAAGTAGTTCCCAGGCACTGCATTTGATGCAATAGAGTCAACGTCGTAGTAGTGTGCTTGCAGACGCAACGACGACTACAATATTGGCTTTTACTACATAACCGACAGAAGCTGGGAACGTTTGATCGAAGCAGTGTAACTATGTGGTGCAAAAGGCATCACTACAGCGTCCGCCGAGAGGAGGCACTTCGTTTGGATGTATGTTTCCGTTTGCTTTTCTCAAGAAATCAGTCGATGTGGTGTTTGCTCAAACGATTCACTATTCGCCACGCTTGGGAAGCGCACATATATGTTTCAATGAAACGACGAGGACATGTGGATCGCACATGTGTATGTACATATACGGAAGCGTCGTGCAGGTCTTCGTCACGCGCTAAGCTTTCGGGTCATTCTGAAGAAGGGCAAAACCTTTCTGCGAGCCTTCGATGGTGATGGATATGACAACGATCGGGACGACGTCTTCGAGCAAACGCTTTGTGTAATCGAGCATGCTTACTGTCAAGAACTAGCGTGAGTGTGCGAGCATCAACGACGTCCGTGTCCGACAAAAGCTCTGCGTTCAGCTGAAGCTACATGCCTGTGATGAGAGAGATGAACGCTTGATCGAGTATTCGATAGTAAAAACCAACCTTTGGCCTTACTGTCAAGTGGTCAATCGCGCCAGAAAGTAGACTGGATCGAGGCTTCGCAACTTCCGATGCTGATGGCGACACGGCATGCTACCCATACGTACTGTATGTGTAGTGAGTGCTTTGCACGAAGTCCCGGTATCTCTGTGTGCGTGTTCCATCGTGTTTGGCAAATTAATTGTAGCAAGGGCTGCCCTATCTTCGGGACAAGTCCATCCCTCAGATGAACAGTCGAACTGCCTAGCGATGTCGAAACCTGATCATCGCTGGGTCTCCCACACCACTTCCTGTCCATGCAGATGTCAACGAGCACCTGGAAACGTCGCACGATCCGATCAGTATCAGCTGATACCCACTTACCAGCACAATCGTGCGTGGATCCTGCTGTTGCTACTTAGAGTACGAAGTTTCTCGTCCAAACCGTATCCAAAATCGGTCCATTGCTTGTCAAATCTCCGTCTCTGGTTCGTATCGAAGGCATATCTGCATTCCCGTACCCAGTCGCACAACTACATATGAATGTCCAAGTCAGCGATTCGACCGACGTGGGACCATCAGTTCACGACGGTACATCTCAATCGAGGACTGTAGTGTCACCACCAGAGCCTTCATCGTCGAGTAACCGAGAGCAGGTGAGACCCCAATGGGATGGCCATCACCAAGTGGGACCAGATACGATGGTTGGGGTCGGCTCAGATGACCTCTCAGATGTGGATGAAGCAGATCCTCAGCCGAAGCGAAGGCGAGTGCGGTGTATCAGTGTGAGCAGTGAAGACGACGACGAAGAAGAAGAAGCGAAGCAGTTGGTGGCTCCTGAGATCGTTCGGATCGTAAATCGACGTGGTCACGGCAGCTCTTGTGAGTATCCGGTACAGTGGGAAGACCGCTCGTCGGGTTGGAAAGCAGCAGCCGAACTACTGGAGCATTGCTCGGAGCCGATGAAGACGTGCGACAAGTACCTGGACAAACACCCAAAGCGCGACGTACCCTTCGCGTCGTTCATCAGCTCTGATCTCCCATCGATCCAGCTATTGGCAAACGACAGTGCACTACACGCAGTGCAAATGGTGTTCGAGCTGATGGGCGGTCTGGAGCGAGAAGTCACGGAGCTCGGGAAGCGGAAAGAGGTATTTATGCAGCGTACGAGTACCGACACTGGAGACAGCGGCGGGCTGAAGTATTCACAGCTCGTGGCGTTTCTTCGGGACGAAGTCCCACACACAGGATACCGGGTGTGCAAGGCCACGTTTAAGAAGAACCGGTACAAGGGCATCGGCCATGGACCGCTGGGAGTCGCGCAGTTGACATGGCGCACTGTCGATCTACTCGCAAATGGAGTGTACCTCGTCTACAGACTCAGGTCCTCTCGGCGTGGCCACTGCATCGCAGTGATGAGGGACGGGGACTCGATGGTGGTGCGGGAAAACAGCGTGACCCTCGGCATTATGACCCAGACGTGGATCCGGAATATCTGTTTTGTACGTCAAATCTTGCTCCTGAAGGACGCAGCGTTGGTCTCGTAGCGACTGGATGGAAGTGAGCCGCGTAATTGCAGGCCTACAGAGCACGTGCACGCGACGTTCTATCAGCTTACACGTTGGGCTGTGAGCATGCGAGTATGCCGCATTGGTACGTTCTTGAAGGAAGTGATGCAGGCTCTGATACGTGAACGGCTGTTCTGGTTGTAAACAGCAAGCAGGCGAACCCGTGAAGGTACTAGGTGATACCTGCGTCAAAGAATGTTGCTGGTTTGACGGAATATGTTATCCGCTTGGGCTTTTCAGGGAACCATCGCTTACTCGCATCGAACGGTCCGGCAACTACCAGCATAGTGCCGCAAGTGAAATGACAGACTGATTGTACGTACGTGCACGAACGCTACTGAATGATCGATAAGGCCCCATTGCTCAGTCAGGATGTGGTGTACGTGCTTGCATTCGTCAGCCCATTCCGGAAACAATATGAAGTATGTGGTGACTTGCTTTCGGTCGCAGCGAATACACCAAGACGAACGACAATCGATCTAGCAAGCTATGGCAAAGGGGTTGATAAGAAAGCGCGATGTCTTTGTTCTCATTAGATCGCCTGGTACGAATAAATACACGTACGACGAGTGTGTCGGCGTCCTTCGAAAGTGGTGAAGGTAGTGTAGACGAATGGGATACGCATTCAAGCTAGCGACAACTAGGACATGGAAAAGCACGACTACGATGCCAGCGACCAGCCATTTCCAGTTCATGTCTTTGTTCTTCGCGGCTGACCGAGTTGTAAACGGTCGTCTATTGATTCGCGTCATTCGTTTTGACTCACCTCACGCAAACGCTACGTTTCAATGCACCGCTTTGCTTGCATGCTTTCCGATCGAGTAATGAGCCGTGGTAAGCATGCGCGAGTCACAAGCAAGCATGGACCAGCTCGTACACCCAACGTTGATTGACATCGACTGAGGAATCTCCGTCGCTTCAGCGTGTATATCTCCGGGTTTTTTTACCGCATGTCAACATAGTCTTCTCTCGTTCACCAAACACACCACTTCAAAGATGCTGCCTTGGGATGCTAAAACCATAATGAAACCAGAGGTTTGCTATCAGCGCTCCTTCCACCGACTTCTCTGGCAGTATTCGGATGCATAGTGTCCCATCTCGACATGATGGAGATCCTGCAAGCCTATTAGCTTTCCAAGTATACGATCCCAATTCGATCGATCAATCTCTTGCAACCGGAGTGTTACATGATACGATAGCGATCTTGCACGCAATTGGGTTTGCGTGCAAGTAGTCAATCTGTCAGGGTGGGGGTACTCACTCCACTAGTAGTCTCATCGTCCGTTAAGCATCTGGTGGAATAAGCAAATAATGGGAATGCGCAGGCGAATGTGCCGTCGAAATGGCAGAGGTCAATGCGATGCCATCGCTCTACGTCTGCGAGCGATAGCTCCTCATCAATCTGGATGCCTTCCAGACGGTTTACCGTCCTTGGTACTGCCTGTCGTAGTGTCATACGATCCAGCAATTCGCATTGCAAATTGCGATTCTGACACTCCGTCATACTTCAATTTGTCTGCTTGTGCACCACATGCACTGCTATTGTAATAGCAGTAGCAGTACGGCTTCTTTCGCATAACTCCTGTAGCCCAAGTCAAATGGATGCCGCGATGTTCGTAGACATTTCACTGGCTGGGCATCTTTGACTTCTGTCGGTCAGAAACGCGCGGACGACTGGGTTTCTGCTTGTGTTGCATGTCCTGACGTGCCCTCAACTAGTAGTCAGCCATCGTACATGAAGTGCTCTGCCTGACTTACTCACAAACTTTCACTTCGACCGAGTTATCACACATAGCTGACGATGGCAATACAGCGAGTCACAAACACTTCACGTCTATTGCCTCCGCAGTAAGTCGTTATTGCAGGCCATTCTACAGATGACAATGATCAATATCCAATCTCGCATAGCTGTGCTCGCTAGTAACACATGCCACGCTGGGATGCATATGATGGATCGCGCACCTCGATAGCAACAAAGCCAGGATGTTGACGTGGCATTCGACGTACACAGGTGTCACGAAGATACCATGACGATCATCTGAACAGACCGTTCGAAGGCCAGCGTTATGATGGTGTCGCCTACCATAAGAGCTGCAACGGCAAGCCGTGTCTACAATAGCAACAAAAAGACAAGTCAGCCAAACGCGCAGCTACCATTGCTGCAATACGTACCTGTTCGTTCGGCATTGTCACCAACTCAAGCATGGCGTTCATCGGAGTGAAGACCTCTGCAACGACCATCGCCAACACGGCGTAGGTGAAGAGCGCGCTGCGGTGAAGCAGCTTGTTCTCCCAGAATCCCTCCATGAACGGCTGTCCGCGATAGTTGGCCACAAATGTGTTCACTTGCATGATTGAGGACATGAGGAACATCGTACTGTTGACCACATTGGGAGTGAATTTCCCATCTGGATGCATCGCTGGGTCCCCGGGCTCGATGAAAGGCTGAGCCACGCGAAGAGCCGCCACGAGAAAAGCCAAATGGATCAAAAATTGACCAAAGATCGACACCATCACGTTCACGCAGAACACTCCCGACGGTGGCCGCTGGTGGGAGAGCTTGCGCGCAGGTTTTGCCCGCGACAGAATCAGGAAAAACATCGCGACAGTAAGCTGCACGCCAAGCAGTACAAGTGTCAGCACCGTGAGCTACCACATATGACAGAACGCACTCACCCCCGATATCGTCAGCTGCTGATCGCCATTCTTGACGCCGAGGACAAAGAGAGAGCTCAGATAGTACGCCGTGATCAAGCAGTTGATGCCCAGGATCTTGTACATCTGAATGGTTGTCACAAGTGTGCATCGCCCTTGGCGAATCAGCTTTTTGATCACACGAATGCTCGAGCTCTTCGACGTGAACGGTGAGGCGATGGAAGCGTCTCCCAATCGAACAACCTGGGCACCGTCGTTATCGTAACGCGTTCGCTGCAGCTCATTCGCAGAGCGTTCTTGACGACCAGGTTGACGCCGATGGCGAAGACCAGCCATGCCTGCACCATGACTACTTGTTTTTCCAGTATCAACCACATGGGGCCTATTCTCAGAGCTGGACGAGTTCACGATTGATATGCCGATGTGGGCTTGCTTCAACGCCCCTACATCGTTAGTCCCATCGCCGCACATGGCAGTCGTTTTGCCGCACCGTTTCATTGCCAAGATAACGTGCTCCTTCTGCTGCGGTGACGTGCGAGCGAACACAGTGGTGCAAAGGCATAGTTTCTCGAGAGCGGTGAGAAACCCTTCAAGTGCAGCCGCGCTGTCATTGCACTTTTCTTCTTGCTGCTTGTAGAGCGTTGTCATGGCCTCGCCCGTTACGCACATATCATATTGCACTTGCATCTTCGCGACGTCGTTGATGTCGAAAGGAATGACTTCCTCCTCCATGTCAGGCGAGCCGTCGTCAATGGACTTCCAATGAACAGATCCGTCCTCCGCATTCGGCGTCAAAATTAATGGCTGTTTGGAATATCCCGCATTGATTCCTACTTGCCGAGCTACGTCGCACGCTGTCAGAGGATTGTCTCCCGTTACCATGATCACCTTGTGCTTGGACATCATGAGCTCCCGAACAGTTTGCGTTGTGTCCTCCTTCAGCGGGCAGTCCAATATCAGAAACCCCGCGAACGTCAACGCACTTTCCAACTCCTGGCGCGGCTTCCGTCGCAGTTCGTCCGGAGTGTAAGCGGATGGCAGTACGCGGAAACCCAACGCCAAGACGCGGCATCCCTTGGATGCATAATGGCAATACACACGGCGGTAGTACGAAGGCTTGTGAGCAAAAAGAGACTCGAGCACCTCAGGTGCACCCTTTGTAAGAACGCGCAGCTCGTCTTGCTCATCATTCTCTGCTTTGCGCACGCACACAACTGTCGTCATGCGCTTGAGCTCTGAGGAAAACGCAAAACTGTGCAAAATGTCAACTGCTTGAAGCTTTCCACGGCGATCAGAAGTCCAAGATGGCTGCACGCTAAGTAGGCTCCCGTCTCCGCCCTCACGACTTGTCAAGCACCAGTTGACGCTTCGAACAGCAACCATCTCAAGCGGGTCTCCTGTGACTTTCCCGTTCAGCATCACCAGCGATTGGCATCCAGCAAGCACTAACTCCGTATCAAGAGGGAAGTGCGCCGGTGCAATAATTTCCAGTTCGCGCTTTTTCACTTTCGTGGGCTCAACATGCGTTTGCAAGCCTGCTACGCCATGCAACATGAACTCGTCACTGGTTAATGTGCCTGTCTTGTCAAAGCAGCAGATATCAATGCGACCGGCAGCAGGAATCCGAAATGGCTCCGTGCAGAAAATGTTGCTTCTCGTCAGAGCAACTAGCGAATTGGTAACGGCCAACGATAGCTCCATGGGAAGCTCTGGTGGCACGACTGAAGTGATGATCATAATACAGTGCAGAAACAGCTTGAATTGGTTGCGCGTTGGATCGTCGATTCCCTCTGCAAGCACAAACGCTGCCGCAGCCACTGCAAAGTTGAGCAAAAGGAGGATAAACCACATAGCCTCGGAGTTGTTGGCTGTGACGCGCTGCGATGAGTACAAAATCGTGCGCATCAAACTTCCTTGAGTCGTCCCAAATCCCGTCTTTAGCACATACCCAACGCAGCCTCCGTCAGGGGGTGCAGATACTAGCGGCAAGTCCTTACCAGATGAAGCCGTGTGTTGAAGGATCTTGGTGCCTCCATACAGCACGTGTCTCCTGTGCTTCATGCATGAGCCGTCATCAATCTCGAGGTGCTGCAACATGTCCTCCTCATTCAAAATCGATGCACTGACAGCTTCTTTGCGCAGAGGGATCGACTCGCCAGACAGCATTGACTCATTGACCACGCAATCCCCATGGAGCAATAGCAAGTCGCACGGCACTACAGCATCACGATCATTGTGACTGACAGAGCACATGTCACCGGGTACCAGCTCGTCACTCAAGACCTGGACCCACCGACCAGAGCGAAAGACCAGACACGGCTGCGGTGCGCGCCGCATGTGCAACAGCGTGTCCAAGTTTTGCTGCCGTTGTTTGACAACTGTGCACTCAAAGATCACGAGCATGCACAGCGTGAGCAGCGAGTAGTACATGTACTCGTCGAGACACCAGAGCAGCATGCAGAAGAACTGGAAGACAAAAAACGGCGCCACGAGCTGTTCTTTCAGCAGCCCGACGAACGTCGGCATTGGCAATTGGCAGTCGTTCTTGCCCCATTTGGTGATGGCGTACTGCAGCTCAGCCATTGACTTGACGCCCGTGCTCTGCAAGTACGCCCCCAATGTCCCAGAGGTGGGGAACTCAAGCCGACGGAACTGAGCGTCTTGGCCACGCGAGACACGACCCACGTCCTCGAACAGACAGAACTTGACATTCTGGTACGAGAACCATAGCGTGGGCAGGGGCTCGAGCTTGACCGTCTTCTCCGTCTCGTTCTCGTCGAGCTTCGGCGTCCAGTGGCAGTCGCAGAGCTGCTTGGGCGCCATCGCGAGCGACGGCTCGACCTTCACCAGCAGTCGGACGCGCTCCAGTTCCGTCTGCGCCACCACAGCCGACGAGAAACGGGCGCAGGACATCCAACAGCGCACGTCGACGCTCCACTCGGCACTGAGCAGCGCCAGCGCGTGCCAAAAGACGCTACAGGCGCCGACGATCCACGGGACGACGTCGCCCGCGGGTCGCACCGTGTACAGGTACACAGCTGTGACGTAGAAGAAGCAGAAGGGCAGGACGTCCAGTCGCAGGGGCCATGGCAGCGGCGTGTACAGCGCGACGGACGTCAGCTCAGGGTCGGCGATGCCGCGAGCTCCGGTTGTCATGAAAATGTAGCCAAGTGGAGCTCTAAGGCGATGGTCAATAGGGAGGACAGAGTGGCTATGTGGGTATGTGGGTGGCTATGTGGCTATGTGGGTGGCTATGTGGCTATGTGGGTGGGTATGTGGGTGGATATGTGGGTATGTGGGTGGCTATGTGGGTGGCTGTGTGCTAAGTACGAGTTGGATCCGTTGTGGGGTTCTGTGCTAGTCGACGGCATGTGTGTGTGTGTGTGTGTGTGTGTGTGCTCGTCAGATCATCGTAGTCTCAAATGTTTGGCTTCGTCAGCTCTCACGCAAGTGAGGGGTCCGAATAACCAGATACACAATCATCACTCGAACATGCAGTCCAACAACAACAACAACGGCGACTTTGACTACTGCCACGACCACTCTGGCTTCAACAGTGACCACAACGCTGTCGGTCGACTGGCCACGCGGACATGCAGACATGCAAGTGGCCACGTTTCTCGTATCTTCAGTGAAACAGGTTGTCCTCATAGAAGTCAGACATACGCTTGTTTTGAATGCATCAGTAGACACTAGCAACCAGCTGTCGAGCGAGTGAGTGAGCGAGCGAGCGAAGGGCGGTCGACGATACTACGATTGCCACTGCACTCATCGACACACCGTCTACCTACAGTATTGCTGCTGCTAGACACATGAAAAGCGTGACGGAGCCTCAGTTGGTACCCGAAAAGATGATATATCGACATGAATTGGTCCGTGAAGTTACTATCGTCACTGGCTTCCGCAGACACTGGAGATGCCATTGCAATAACAACAATGAACAGAAGGAGCACAATGGGCAGGACACTCGCTCGACGGATTCGGTCAACGAGTGGCTGGCAAAGCTCGCCGCGGATTCGCTATTCGTCGCGCTATCCATTCGATCAGCCAATCGAAACGCTGTGTTACCGGTACAATATTGACAGACTCGGACCCACATGCGTCCTCCGTCATGGCCTTTTGCAGTCAAACGAGGGTGTGACATCATAGAAAAGGTCACAAGCAAGTGGAAAATATAGACAAAGGCCATGATGGATATGGTTCACGACTGACAGGTTGTTTTCTGTCTTTGTTGTGCTGTCTATTTGTCGAAGAAGGATACCGCAAAGTGCAGCACTGCCGCTTAGCCGAGCTCCTTAGTGAGCGGTCGCTTATCGACCATTGTCTCATACGTCGATCAAGGGCAGGACCACTTTGTTTGGAAGGTGTCCTGAAACTGGGCGGGTAGACCAGACTTATGAAGCTATTTGTAGTTATTCACAAGACATTTACAGATTTGACAATAGCAGGCACAGACCCGTTCCGTCACAGTTGATAGAGAATACTGACTGCATCTTCGCTAGTCACCTGCTACCTCAGATATGTCTTAGCAAGGTGCTCGATGCAAGAGACGCTGCTATGAGATAGAAAGCAGGTGGAGATGCGCTTAGTCTGCGAGGATTATGTAGAAAGCAAAGGTGATCATCTCGCACATCTAGCGTTTCGGTCGCTGCCCTCGCAACCTACCAACACTAATCCAGTCAAAGCGCGATCGAAGGACTCGAGCTGTACCATTTCCTGCGCTGACTTACTAGAAACAAAAAAACGGATGCCGCAGTTTGCAACAGTTTGGCAGATGTAAGTGCAAGCCTGGCGTTGACAACGAGGGTTTTGGCGATCGAGAAGGTGATCAAACACGAGAGGATCTTGCGACGAGTTTGTCTTGCGCTACAGACTCGCAGTTTTGCTTACCAGGAACAAGGAAGCGATGTTGCCACGTGACATGCTCGCCATGTTGTGACAAAACAAAGCCGAAGTCGTCCATGTGCGGCATGATGCGATGCGTGTAACATGGAAGCTGGACAAGTCAACATTATCTAGATAGCGAGTTTGGTCGAAAAGGATGTGTAGTCCTCTGCTGGTGGTGCTACTGCTGCTAGGGATAGTAAACGAGAGGACAATAAACGAAGTGGCGGGACAGCTTGGCTGTGTCGTGTTTAGTACTGGATGTTTGCTATCGGTAATGGATATCTGCACACCCCATTTATCTTGCTAAACACCCTCGATATCAGTAACACCGCAGACCTTGTGCCGGTAGTCTCACACCCTTCTTCGGTATACTTGCAAACGCAATACGCGGCACAATCTTGAGCGACGGCACATTGTGTATCATGTCATCTATCGAGCGCAGATATGTTGTATGTATCTAGAGCGCATGTGAAAATGTCTCGGGGGGTAAGATGAAGTGGAAAGACGTAAGATGAAGCAAAACCTATGGAATAGTTAATTGAATAGATGAGGGCTTATTTGGCGTGAGATCGAACGGTGATGGGGCATGTTCAGTTGTTGTATCCTGGCTGGATGCAGCGCAACGAAATGGGTCCTTGACATGGCATTTTCGTGCTCCGTGTAGTCATGTTAAGATGTCCTAAGAGGGTTCTTCAGTCTGGGCTTGTTGGGTATAATTTTCTCAAAAAAAATGTAGGAATATTACTCATTCTTAGATTATATAAGAGTAACTAAATTATATACGCTCTAAAGACTAAACTCGAGGGAAATGAAAAAAAAGCAAATGATCGCGTGTATGTAGGGGACATAGAATGCATCAAATGGTTACGAAAACAAAAAATACAATGGAAGGTGAGAAATACACAAGTCGCAATCAAGTATGGAAAATGATACACCACAAGATGGCCCAAACATACAAATGCACTACAGACGCATTTTGCACGACCAATTAAACACGTGACTGCGATCATTCATTCATCTACATCCACGTGTATCTTCTTCATTATCTCTCTGGTTACATAATTGAATAATTCCATACATCTAAATCGTCAATAGACGTATTGCACGGAAGGAAAAGGTGTGCTGATGCTTCAAGCGTAGAATATTAGTCTTACTTACCGTCATATCAACGCTAACAAGTACAATGTGGGTGCATGCCTATGCGAACCATCAATAATCAACTGTCACTTGTATTTATTAGCTATTACATCTAGTGTCATCCATCTTATCCTTACACACGTTGCTTCTAGCTCTTTCATCCAGCTTTTGCGGCTAAACATTGAGATAATGTGTAGCTGTCGTTTCGGTCGAATTGTCTCATGTCGATGGGTCGAGGTAGCGCCGTTAACAAATGGAGCGATCGCAATGCATTGTAAGTTGCTTCTGACACGACCCGATGCAGCATAAGACGACGTGTAAACAAGCAGCACCAATTGAGACAAGAAAGTGAAGAGATCTAGTGGAGTTGTTTTGGTGCTATAGGTGGCTACATGGATACTTGTGGTTACATAAGAAATCGTGCTGTTTTCAAAGAATGCAAGAGTGATGGGATACTGTAGCAGATAGTCAGTCACTTGCCATCTTCTTCTTCGTTTTCGTATAGACGGCACAACACAGACGATGACACAAAACAACCTGTCAGTCGTGAACCATATCCATCATGGCCTTTGTCTATATTTTCCACTTGCTTGTGACCTTTTCTATGGTGTCACACCCTCGTTTGACTGCAAAAGGCCATGACGGAGGACGCATGTGGGTCCGAGTCTGTCAATATTGTACCGGTAACACAGCGTTTCGATTGGCTGATCGAATGGATAGCGCGACGAATAGCGAATCCGCGGCGAGCTTTGCCAGCCACTCGTTGACCGAATCCGTCGAGCGAGTGTCCTGCCCATTGTGCTCCTTCTGTTCATTGTTGTTATTGCAATGGCATCTCCAGTGTCTGCGGAAGCCAGTGACGATAGTAACTTCACGGACCAATTCATGTCGATATATCATCTTTTCGGGTACCAACTGAGGCTCCGTCACGCTTTTCATGTGTCTAACAGCAGCAGCAGCAATACTGTAGGTAGACGGTGTGTCGATGAGTGCAGTGGCAATCGTAGTACCGTCGACCGCCCTTCGCTCGCTCGCTCACTCACTCGCTCGACAGCTGGTTGCTAGTGTCTACTGATGCATTCAAAACAAGCGTATGTCTGACTTCTATGAGGACAACCTGTTTCACTGAAGATACGAGAAACGTGGCCACTTGCATGTCTGCATGTCCGCGTGGCCAGTCGACCGACAGCGTTGTGGTCACTGTTGAAGCCAGAGTGGTCGTGGCAGTAGTCAAAGTCGCCGTTGTTGTTGTTGTTGGACTGCATGTTCGAGTGATGATTGTGTATCTGGTTATTCGGACCCCTCACTTGCGTGAGAGCTGACGAAGCCAAACATTTGAGACTACGATGATCTGACGAGCACACACACACACACACACACACACATGCCGTCGACTAGCACAGAACCCCACAACGGATCCAACTCGTACTTAGCACACAGCCACCCACATAGCCACCCACATACCCCCCACATATCCACCCACATACCCACCCACATAGCCACATAGCCACCCACATAGCCACATAGCCACCCACATAGCCACATAGCCACCCACATAGCCACATAGCCACCCACATACCCACATAGCCACTCTGTCCTCCCTATTGACCATCGCCTTAGAGCTCCACTTGGCTACATTTTCATGACAACCGGAGCTCGCGGCATCGCCGACTCTGAGCTGACGTCCATCAGATTAGCGCACTGTAAGTGAGCGACCGGACCTCTCATCAACCAGTACATACCGGTACCAACAGCACATACCACACCTCATTCCAGTCGCGTCCTCGTACAATCCAAGGTCCCTCCACTCCACAGACATACCCACATCCCCACATACCAACATCCCCACATACCCACACACAAACATACCCACATACCCCCAAACATATCCCCAGTTATGGCCGAGGCATCGAATGCGACCCCAAAGGCGACGGCCGCCGCGCGCGAGTTCTCTCTGGACGACGTGGCGCCGCACAACTCGGCCGACGACTGCTGGATGGTCCTCCGCCAGGGCGGCATCCGTCGGGTCTACGACGTCACGCGGTTCCTCGACGACCATCCGGGCGGACCGGAGATTATGGTCGACGTGGCCGGACGCGACGCGACCGACGAGTTCGAAGACATTGGACACTCGAACGACGCGCGCGCGCAGCTGCAGCAGTTCGCTATCGGACAGATCGAAGGCGACGTGGCGCACGAGGCCGCGCCGGCCACCGCGCGCAAGAGCGGCGGGCAGCCGGTCACGGCCAGCGGGCGGCAGGACATTAGCGGCCAGAACGGACCGTTGTTTGCGGTGCTCGTGGCGGCCGCAGCGGTGGCTGTGGTCTACTATAAGTACTGGTGACCAATGGACCGAGTCGTTGACTGGTGGTAGAGGAGCGAGCGAGCGAGCGAGCGCTCACGGGGTGCGTGGGCTGCGGCTGTTGACTGGTAGCTGCCGCACTTGGCACGAGTGGAATCAATGAGCTTTACGTACGTAAGACAATCACTAACTTGTGGCCTTTGGCACAACGCGCTGCACTGGAGCAGTGACGTGGCTCGAGTGGCTGCGGCTGCGCGGCGGACGTGTGAGAGTATCAGCTGATAGACAGACAGACAGACAGACAGAGTGAGCGAGCGAGCGAGCGCTGGTCGTGTCCAACAGCTTCTGGAGGTGTGCACGCTCTTGTCGGGTCAACGGTAGCAAACGCGCAGTAGTCGTCGAGTGGAGTGCGACCGCCGCACTCGCAGTGTCCGCTGCACCGCTCGGCACTTGGTACGTAGCTTACGACTGCGAAGGCGGCGCCGAAGCGCTCTTTGCAGCGTACAGTTTGTTCCACTGCGACTGCGCGTCGCGCTTGTTCTCTTTGCTGATGGCATCTGCCACACGTAGACGGCACACCACGCAGCGTTACGGCATACACCTCACATCACATGCCCCTCGCAACAGCTGACGCCCTTCAGTGTACATCGTGACGTACGGGACTGCGCGTCGATCCGCAGGCTCTCAGCTCGGCGCTTCATTTTGGCTGTCGACGTCGCGATTTCCTGCATGGCCGTCGTGATGCTGTGCAGTTTCCGCGTGTAAAACGGCAACTTGTCCAGCACTGCAGCTGCAGTTGACAGGCGCTCGTTCGGCTCGACGTCAGTGTTCAAACCTGTCAACATTTGGAGCAGTCGCTGCCGCCCACAACAGCACAGAGCCCCACCGCAGGCAGTCAGTCCGTTGCACTCCTTGCGGCGCACAGTGTCTGTCCGTGTAGAGTTTGCACCTGCTGACTCTCCTGCAACTCGGCGATCCGATGCATCGTACTGTCCATCGAGGGCTGCACGAGGTCCACGAACGCGCTGCTCATGACGTCAACGCCGTTCGTCGACTCGTGCAGCTGCCACAGCTCTTCGTCCTCCCCCCGTTTGTCTTTGCAGTCCTCCGCCTTTGTCCGCACATGAGCGACTTCCGCCGGTTCCTGCCGCACACTGACCTCAACTGTAACCCGCTCGTTGCCGTCGTCGTCGTCGTCGTCGTCGTCGTTCACCTCCTCCAGCTGCTTCTCGTCCTTTAACTGTGTCTTCACCTCGTGCTTCAGCCCCCCACTGTCACGTTCTTCTTCCTCTTCCTCCTCTTCCTCTTCCTCTTCTTCCTCTTCTTCTCCGTCAACTGCTCTGTCTGCACCGGTTGGCGGTCGAGCAATTGCCATTGGGACTGCGAAACGCGGCGCTGCTGGGGACGTGCGCGAGCCAAAGCCACTGCTGCTATGGAACTGCAAACTCATTGCTAAGCGAGAGACGATCGGGCGTTAGCACAGCCATTGACGTGGTCGTCGACACATACACAGAGAGACAGTATGAACGAGCGGCGCACCGGTTTCATCGTCTTCGTCCTCTTCGCTGTCTTCACCTGCCAACACGCGACCGCCGTACGTATATGTCATAAGGAGCTGTTGCGCGAGTGGCGTCTCTCGCGAGCAAAGGGCGTTTTGTGACAAAAGGAGGTAGGGAGACTGGAATGACGTATTACTAGTGGAAGGATGTTACGGTCGGTCTGGAATGCGCACGGGGAATACCGCCACTCGACGATCATACCACCGCACACACACGCGATCGACGTGTTGAGACAGCGACAACAAATGCAGCATACGACTGTATCCTGTCCTCAGCGACGCAGACGCGTCTCTGAAATAACACGCAGCGAATCCCGCGCCCGGTCCATCCACCGCTCTATGACCATCGAATAGCAGCACGAGCGTCAGTACGAGTCCTCGAGCTGCATTCGTGACACAAAACAGTGTCCAGCCATCCACCATCCACCTGCTTCCTCGGCGACTTGACGAAGCGTCTGGGCCTCTTCTTCGCTCTGGATCTGCAGTCGACGCATCGTCTCCATTTGCTCCCTATTGCGCCAATACCACCCACCAGCAGCAGAGAGACGCACATCACATTGAGTACACCTTCAGCCTCTCTCTCACTTCGCAGCGAGAAGCATACACTTCGGTCTTGTCAAGTCCCGGGAGGTCGTCAATGAGCGCGTCCGTCTCCTGCACCATCTTCAGCACGTCGTTGGCCAGCGTCACGATCTGCGACAGAGCACCCACAGCAATAAGTCCATTGGACCACGTCACCAATAGCGTCACTAGGGGTACATGCAAACAAACCGACAAATACACGGATGCGCTACTGCGTTTGTGCTACCTGAGTCTTCGTATCGTCCCCAGTCGTGGCGGGCAGCAGTCGCAGCGCGTTGAACATACTGAGCGCCATCTTGTCCACGCTCTCCTGCAGCAACGACACCTTATCCAGCGTCACGACACCTGTCTCGACACCGTCTGCGTCCGTCATGTCGCCGTGGCCTTCTTCGCTGAGCTGCGTCGTCGGCTGCTCGTCTTTGACGCCGTTCGCATCCATGACAGCTTTGTCTCAACTAATGAGTGCACTCGTGCGCACGTGTGAAGGGTAAGCGATGGCTCGTAACCTGTCTCTGACGTGTTTACGCGGATAAGGTTGACGTGGTGCGCTGTATCCTGTTCGTGTTACAAACGTCGGATACGTATAGTTATGAGCGCAACGTCTGGTCATAGCGACAGCAATCCGATTGATTCTGAGGGTATTCAATTCTTCGAATCACGCAGTCAAGACCGCCTCTGCTGCCTGCACGATAGCAACTATGCTGTATCGAATGGTTAAGTTGATGGCTTAGTACACACGAAGTAATGTTAAACACATTCTAATGAGCTCTACGCACGAAGTTGACGACACGTACCATACATACTCTCAGTTGGCACATGACCAGCACACGAAGGCGATATGACTCCGTTTACTCGGACATTCTTTACTTCCAATCTGCAGCCCTGTAGTTGGTCAATCTCCGCTACCAACGCCCAGTCCATAGTTTAACACGATAATCCCAACTACATGACTGTAGTTCAGCAGCGAACGACATCTTCGCACGCGGTCTTCGCACTGTGTCAGTCCAACACCTTTCTCCCTCAACAAATGCAGATTGGCAAACAACTTTCTTTGAAGGCGTCACACGAAAAGACAGTTGACAGACAGGATGTGGGTTTGCTCCCCACAAGACCACTCCACGCGACTCACGTGACGATCGTGGAAATCGCGACGGCTGTGATCACAAACGTGAGGCCCAAGAAGCCTCTGGCAAAAGAGACAGAGCTCACAACGGGCTCAGTGAACTCAGTTATGGCCGCCCCGGAAAACCCCCACACGCCCTGGCAGTATCGGCTCCCGATCACTTGGAACCAGCACGGGATCGTCCAGCCGAGCAAGAAGCCAAACAGTCCAGCGACGGCAAAGATGAAGTCGAGGCGCTTGAACGCCACGGCAAACAGAATCGGCGGCGCTGCCACTGATAGTCGGCACAAACTTCGGGTGAAGCCCTCGCCGAGCCGAGCGGTGAGGTGCGACGGAAACGACATGAGCATGTTGTCGCCGACCGTGACGCCCACCATCGGGTACGCCGACACTACGTTGACCACAGGGAAGAGCAGAATGACCAGTTGCACAATGACACCGATCGGGTTCGTGTACCCGCAGTCTTCCCATCCATTGCCGCAGCCTGAGTACGAGCTCCACATAAGCGTCGCCAGTGGATTGATCTCGTCGAACGACAGGGCGCCGAGAAGACCCACGAGTAGGTAGCACGAGCCAGCAATGAGCAGCGCAGCAAACGCCACGAAGCGCGCTTTGGACTTGGGGTTCAGCGGCTGCAGCGCGTCCGGCATGTTGTACTGGCAATTCAGCGCCAGCAATGTAGGGCCAAAGCCCTTGCCAAAGTCCTTCCAGTTCACGAGTCCAATGGCCGCGTACCGCGCCGCTAGCACGTCCGCGCCGTCACTCACGGCTTTGACCGTCATGGTCAGCAACATGAGCGCAAAGGCGACGATGCGATACACGGAGAGGAACTTCTGCACGAGCGCTTGATCGCTAATGTCCATGAGCACCATGGACAGCACGATCACAGAGAAGATGGCCATGAAGACGTAGTAGCCATCGAGACAGCCTGAAGACGGCGACGCGCCGTACACGTCGCACGCGTCGCCCACGACGTACATGAAGAAGATCGAGGCCGTGGACGACGAGAACACGGACGCGTACGACCAGAGCGAACCGACGCAGTAGAGGCCCATGACGAGCTGCACGGCGACTTTGCCCAGCCGGCCCACAAACATCTCGGCAATGGTCGCGAACTCGAACTTGCGGTACGTGATCTGGTGGCGGGGGACGCCGCCGCCCGTGGCAGCGCAGACGCCTTCGGCCCGTGCGAGCGACTCGAGCGTGTAGTTCATCGTGATGCACGAGCCCAAGACGCCCAGGAGCATGAGCGCTAGGGACAGGCCGATCCCTGCTTCCATGAAGGCGTACGGCAGGCCAAAGCAGCCCGTGCCGATCACGTAGTTGAGCGCCATGGCGAGCGTCACGGCCGGTCCGTACGGCTTGACGCTCGCATGGCCGCTGTCGTATGTGCTTGTGAAGCTGCGCGTCAGCAGCAGGTGCGAGTGCTCGTTCGTGGCCATGACGACGCGCGACGAGAGATCTGAGGAGCTCTTGGTGGGGGCCCGAAGCGCGTCGCGCGTGGTCCCTGCGAAACACGATACCCTGATTCATTCTAATCCGGCGCAGAAAGGCCGGTGCCGTGCAGGACGGACGACACGTTCGTTTTTTTTTTTGGGGGGGGGGGGAAGGGGAAGGGGTGCTGAGGGTGTTGGCCAATAGTGACGTAGTGATACATACGCGGCAGGGGCGGCGGGATTAGATGGTGTAAGGGAACTGGAGGCAGTGGGTGTGCCTGGACATCGACGCGATCGACATGACGGACCGAAGTGGACGAGTGTGTGATACCTTACTTTACGTGAGCTGACAGCGCGGCGTTCTTGCTTGGTGATGGTGGATCGACCGCCAGCTTGGACAGGTTTCGACTTCGTGTGCACAATCGACAGCCTTCTTCTACCCATGATTCCGTCGAGGTGGTAGTAGTGACGGTGTTGCTTGCACAGGTTGTTCCTAAGGATCTTGTTCCATTGTATCGACCATCTGATGTATGAATGATATGCACGCCATTGACCAATGGGTTCCGACGTGTGCGGGTGGACCTCTGCTTCAAGCGACGTTCGCCGGTCCGCACACTAAGAGTACAATAACTGGGCAATTGTAGGACAATTGTAGGACAATTGTAGGACAACGATAGCACAATTGTAGAACAATTGTAGGACAATTGTAGTCACAAGCACGGGACAAGGATAGCTTAATGATACTTCGCAGCAATGATATTTCGCAGCAATAGTACTACTTCCTCTTCCCTCATCGACTTTTGGTCCCACGTCGGGTTTCGTGATCCAAAGCGCTCGATCGACGCCGTCGACGTCACCCCCTTTCAGATTCGTTCTCCCCACCCCCGCGTCCCCGCTCTGCTCTCGTCCCTCAATCCCAAAACAACCACATCGACCGCCGTCCGATCCACAAGTGTACCCATCCACTTTCATCCCTCCACCCGCCCGCCCGCCCGCTTCTCGTCCATGTTGCGTCCCGTGCTCCGCTCGCTGCGTCGCTCAACGCCGTTCCTCGTGGCGCGCGCCCTCTCCACCTCTGCCAGCGATCTGCAGATCCACAAGGTCGGCATGGTCGGCCTCGGCCTCATGGGCCACGGCATCGCCCAGACAGCTGCCTCTGCGGGGTTCGAAGTCGTGGCTCTGGATGCCGATCCCAAGGGCTTAGACAGCGGCATGAAGCGCATCGAAGAGTCGCTGAGGAAGCTGCACAGTCGCGACGTGAAGAAGGGACGGATCACGTCCCAAGAAGCAGACGAACGGGCGGCAGCGGCCCTGGCTCGCGTCACGCCGACGACCGACGTCAACGCTCTTGCAGACTGTGACCTCGTGATTGAAGCGATTGTGGAGAACGTGGACGTCAAGAAGCAGTTTTACGCCACGTTGGGCACCGTGGCCAAGCCGTCGGCCATTCTGGCGTCCAATACGTCGTCGCTCGCGATCTCGGACTTTGCCGGGTCTTCGGGTCGCGCCGCACAAGTTGTGGGGCTGCATTTCTTCAACCCCGTGCAACTGATGAAGCTCGTCGAGGTCGTGCGGACGGACGTGACGGATCCCAAAGTCTTTGATGCGTGCAAGCAGTGGGTGCTCGACATTGGCAAGCACCCCGTGAGCTGCAAGGACACGCCGGGGTTCATTGTCAACCGACTGCTCGTGCCGTATTTGGCCCAGGCCATTGCCATGTATGAACGAGGAGATGCCACGAAGGAGGACATTGATGTCAGCATGCAGCTCGGTGCAGGCCATCCGATGGGACCCATCACGCTAGCAGACTATGTCGGCTTGGACACGACGCTCTTTATCCTCGAGGGATGGGTGCGCGATTGTCCGAACGAGCAGGCGTTCTTTGTGCCGCAGATTGTCCGCAAAATGGTGGCAGAAGGCAAGCTAGGCCGCAAAACTGGACAAGGGTTCTACAAGTGGGACGGCGACAAACGTCTGTAAGCTGCTAGGGCCGTGAGTCAGCGCTGGAGCAATGGGCACATATCCACATCCACATAATACATGAGGCCACGTTTTGCCAGCCCCCTCGATCTGCATTGACTGCTCTTCTGCTTTACTCACAGCCGAGACAACGTCATGCGCGTCGCAAGCGCTGTCTCGACTGGGTACAACCTGTCGACTTCGATATACCAAGCTGCGACCCACGCACGCGTTTTGGCTTCACAGTTTACTGAGACTCGCGCAAACAGTGCACTCTTCAACTTGCGCAGTACGCGTGGACTGGTCTTCCAGTGAGCAAGGAGTCGCTCAGCTTCCATTGAGATGTCGACCAACCTGTCGACCGGTGCTATCTTCATGAGATCAAACACCAAGCCAGCAAGGTACATTCCACCCGTCTCGCTCGAAGCAACCGCCTTCTTGGCAGAATCCTCCGTGACAGCCATCGCTTCTTCTTCAGCCAGTAGCTCAGTGCTGCGCTCACAACATTTCCGAATCGCCCAGACCACCATATGACGAGTCGATTCTGCAGCTCGATTCGCATCAGACGTGGCTGGCACCGCAAGAGTGTCGGAATAAAACAGTGACCCGAATACCACTCCACATGCCTTGGTCAGCGCTTGAGAGGAAGCGTTGGCTGGGTATGAAGCAAGTGTGACTTGCAGGTAATGCGGCAATACCATGGCACGCGGAATAAACTGCGCTAGATGTGACAAGCACATGCCGATGAAACCGTGGCCAAACGTATCCGCCGGTTCAAAAACGTTGTACAGTACTGAGAAGACTACAGAAAGCACATCGTCGATCAGTGACGCACACTGGAAAAGCAAGATACGCAGCCCGCGTTGCACGACACGCCCCACAGCTAGTGCCTGGCATGCACTCACGACGTCAGTTTCAGGTAAAATGTTGGCGTTCGTAGTCGCCGCATGCATTGCTATGGAGCGCAAGACTGGCGCAAATATCTGTTCTGGTGGCGATGCAGTCTTCTCCAATGCTTGCTCCAACTGCTTTGTCACTACTTGCATCGATGCGTTGGCGCATGAAAATGCACACATCTCACGAGCAAACTCAATCCGAGAGAGGGCGACGAACGACTGCACGGTATAATCCACTGCCAACACTTCCAAAATCGGCGCAACACCTGCATAGAACTGTCGGGTAAACCTCACGATTTCTTCTATCGGCATGAGCAAACACTTATCGTGCACGGCAGGAGCGCGAGACGTCAGATGTTCTTGCAACACGTTTGTGCGGAACGAACTCGTCGGGAGAACTGACCGCATGGCTGCTACAAGATCAAGATGCGTTTTGCGCGAAGTCTGGAAAAAGCTGACGACCTCCTCGATACACAGTTCTGCCATCTGCAGCAAGCATTTGTGGAGGACAGCGTACGATGGCTCGAATACTAAAGCCTTTACCCACTCATGCACTTTCGTTTGATATTCAGATATCGTTGCATCACTGTATGGTTTCAACGGAGGCGCCATTAGAGGCAGATTGACAAGCCGCAGTAGCGCGAATTGGCTCAGAATCACTGCATCGCCTGACTGCGATTGTCCACACACATCACTGGAACGCCTTGCATCATCGAGGATTGTGAGACCCAGCGCCATCGCGACAACAGCAACAGGTCTGCGCGGATGAGGAAACGGTTGACGCGATAGCTCAACCACAGTGTCAGCTCCCAATGAGCTCAGGTATTGCACGATCTCCGGTGCTTGGTGAGCTACTGTCAACGCGCTTAGAACCATGACAGCAACAGCTAAACATCCTGCGTCGGTCGTTGTACCAGCTGCACTTCCCTTACGCCTCGCACAACTAAGCCACGCATCTTTCAGCAATAGATTGCTTGTCAACGTATCATGGATGTGCTCTCGAAGCGGTATAGCGACGTTTGCGACAAACACAAGTTCGTATCTCTGAATAGCAGCCGTCCACCAATGCGCAAAAACATCAACCAATATTGGCGCAGCCACACACTGTGCTTCGAACGGAGCTTCGTTCAGTGGCCTGACTAGCACTGCGTCCCACAGCTCCCGACAAAAGACCACTTGCTGTTCCTTGTCACACAGTGTCGCCGACGTTGGAAAGTCGCGCGGAGGATGCGGCGTTGTCATTAGCAGCGCACAGCTCTCATCCCTCATCTCCACCACTTCACAGCATCGTAGCACCTCTAGAGTACAGCCCAACTCCAACCACAGCATCCAACGCGCGCGATGCATTGACTTCGGCTGCTCCTCGTGCCAGCGCCAAAGCACCTGCGACAGCTGTTTTTGCACGGACATGCGCGTCAATGTCCCGTCGTTCTCATCTTCTTGGGACATCGGTACAGTATGCAGTGCTGGCGTTGCAATCTCGAGGTGCAGCCAATCGAGCACCCGTGTCACTGCCTTGTCAATGTCTTTCCGCGTGCCACGCTCCTCTCCCGTCACGTGCTCGGCCAATGCAGCAGTGAGCACACTCAGACCAGCGACAACGTCCTGTCGCGTCATCGCGGGCGCATCTGCAGCCCGCGACTGTACAGCTCGAGACACACGCGCGTCCGCGTCGACTGCGGTGCCCGTCGTCATCTTTGCCCCGACCAAGTCGTTGCCGCTTTTTCGTCTCGAATTTCAGCCAATGAGATCATTCGATGGCGCACTCCCTCGTCGAGTCGAGCGACGTGCACCGACCTCGCACCATCGCCTTCGTGCCGCACGTTGCGCTAGCGATCCAGCGCCATCACGTGCTAGCGCTGGTGCTGGCGGTAGCGCTCGCTTGCTACGTGTACGCGCGTCGTCGTCGTGGCCTCATGGACCAGCTGTCGCTGTACCGCGCACTTCGTCGCTCCGTCACGACCGCGGCTTCGGGGCCATCGACGAAGTGCGTCTCCCCCACTTTAGTGCCCGCGCCCGTCGAAGAGTGGCACATTGTGACAGAGCATGGCACGCAGATGCAGTCGCTCGTGTACTACCCGTTGGAGCGCAGGGAGCCCAAGACGCTCGTGGTGATCGTCCCAGGCAACCCGGGCGTCTCGTTCTTCTACCTGCCGCTCATGCAGGAGCTGGTCCGGAGACACGGGCGGCGTCACGAGGTGCGCTGTCTGTCGCACGCTGGCCATTTTCTGCCGTCGAGGAACAAGGACCAGGCGTTCACGCTGCAAGAACAGCTGGCACACAAAGCCGCGTACGTGCAGCAGCGACTGCAAGCCGAGCCGACGCTGCAGCTCGTCCTGATTGGCCACTCGATTGGCAGCTACGTCGTGCTGGACATGGCGAGGCGATTTCGTCACCACATTGCCAAGCTCGTGTTCATGCAGCCAACGATCATGCACATGGCACTGTCTCGAAAAGGAAAGCAGATGATGCCGCTGTTTCACCACTACGAGCGAGCGGTGGCACTTGTTGCAGCAGTGGAGTATCTCGTGCCACTGTCGCTGCGTCAGTGGATTGTCCGTCGCGTCGTGGGCGGTGACACGTCCGAGCTATTGCAATTGGCGTCGCTCTCGCTTGTGCACGCAAGTGTCATGCGCAACGTGCTCAAAATGGCAGCAAACGAGATGGAGGAAGTGACCGAGCTGGACGGAGACTTGCTGGCAAAGGTCGAACAGAAGGTCTTGTTTGTCTACTCGCCAGTAGATGAGTGGGTGCCAGCTGAGTTTGTGCAAGAGTACCAACTTCGCTTTCCGAACGCGCAACACCGTGTTGTACCACAAGCTCACGCCTTCATGATGGAAGCTAATGGTACGCACGACATGGCAGCACACATTTCACATTGGATTGCTGAAGTACTCGACGGCAAGCAGCCGAGTGAAATGGACGCAGTAGTAGCGTAGACGTGTTTGAAGCATCTGCGTTGCTCTGCATCGAATCGAAGTGTGTCGGACTGGTTGACACACTAACATTTGGGGTTTGGCACCTCATTTTGTGTCCGGGATACGAATGTAATGGGAAGCCTTCTTCACATGAGGCTGCGTTTACTGTATCAGAACAAACTCATCTTTTACACGATCGATTCGATGCTGAGCAAAAAGGCGAACGCAGACGATCCAGTTTCTTTGGCAGTCAAGTCCTGTACTTCGAATGGCACATGCCATGCACACGTCTTGAATGATTACTAAACTAAACCCACACAGCACATGCCGATAAACGTGTTCTGAACCGCTTCGCTGATGTAGCACAGTCGCTGCAGCAGCTGAGCTTGATGCATCCATGCCATCGATCATACCGTTGCTTGCGTGTAGCCAGAATCAGTCTAATCGACGACCAAAATCAATGCGTGGGTGCGGCCATAGCGATCGCACTCACGGTCAATCGTCTCCGAATACCGAAGTGCAGCGTTTCACAAGTGATATCACGCATTTAGTGTCCTAGTGCTTTGTTAGCGTCCGGTGCATCACACAGCGCGCACAAGATGCTTACCGGAGTCATTAGCAGATAAAACTCATTGCAACTAACTAGCGGTGAGGTCGCAGAGACAGAAAGACTATACGTGGACGATCCAAAGCAAAATTGCGACATCGACCGATGTGGCATCGCAGGTGGCTAGTGCCAGTTCAAAACTTGCACTGCATCGTGCAAGAGACCTGTGTCGATTAATCGTGCTGCCTCGTATGTTCCAACTTTTACTTGACGCTTGCATACAATGTTCGATCCCTCTCGACCTCAAATCGTAGGATGAACATTGGATTGGCGGTGGCTAGATTTGTGATAGGTTGGTGCGTTCACGAACCACAAGAAAATACCCACAATCGATTGTTCTAATGAAATACACAATCACAGACTCCTCGGTATCATCGTGTCAACTGTCAAGCGTGCCCTGCCACCTTACAGCTTCTTTCAAAACCGCGTACGACAGTATCGAGCTCGGAATACCGTGCAAGGGACCCGCAAGGACCATTGCGCTTCGGTTTTGTTTGGCACATTTTCAGTTGTATAGCCGATCCGAGCGCTAGCTTGAATGGCAACAAAGGCTTCCGTACGTGGACTCGATGGCCGACCCTGTGTTCTTAGCACTATCGTGGCCTAAAATGACAACGGTGGTTTGTACTCGATTCGATCACCTTCCTCACTAAAGAATTCAATTACCTTTTCGGCTAAACGCGGAGCACACGGACGTGTAACGCGATCTTCAGAAGGAAAAACATTCGTGTCGAGCCATGTCAAGGACAAGATATCAGCATAAGTGAGGTAGATGACACTAGGTCAACAATAACGTGAGATGGACGACATCAGGTCAAGAGTAAGGTGAGATGGATAACACTAGGTCGTCTAGTAAGGTGAGCGAGGCTCCGATTGCATTGACACCGGATGGTTCGAAACGAGTTTCAGCTCACAGATATGCTCCACATGACAATAAAATGAACCAGATCGACTGGTGCAAGGAGCACTCTTTTCGGGCTGCGTTACGAAGTACACACACTGGAGAGATGGGCGACCACGTCAGATGTCTTGTGTCTCGACAGACTGCTTTTCGTACATCCATAGCCTGTCACGCAATAACGACGTGACTGAAAGTCGTAGACCTTGACAATGCTCCCATTTCCATGTTCTCTCTACACGATAAGCCACATGGACCACAGACCGTAGCGCTTAGTGCCTGCAACCGACGGCGCCCGGGGCTGTATATCCTCTGCTGTTACACCAGCCAACCGATACCACAAGCTTTCTAGTAGGAAATGGATAGCTGGTGCAAATAGGAGCTTGTCGTGGTGACGACGCAAGGTTGGCCACACTTATATACCACTGGCTATAGCGCATAACGTGACATTCATGTGCACAAACTCCATGAGCACCGCCGTTGGTACGAGTTGGGCTTCGTCGAATGAGCTGTTGCACACTGACAGCTCGCAACTCTCGCCATACAACGCAACGACCGTGTCAGTATTATCCGTCCGTCGGGCGAGCTTTCATATTCAGTCGACGTCTCACATGAGGTGCCGCTCTCGATCGAGTTGACCGCTCAGGCATTCGATGGCGGCTCTTCAGGAGCGTATGGACGATCTATTTTCGGCCCTCATGATCGGATCAGCGGTAAAACACACTACCGCTTGGGCGACAGACATGAGGATCGACGTAACGATTTGTGAGGACACACACCAAAACGGTCGCTAGGGTGCCTGATAGAGCATGTACAGACTTTGCAAATGAGCGTCTATGGCTAAACGACAAATGTGATCGAAGAAACATAGCAGCCACATTAGATCGTTAAGCTCGATAAAGGAGCTTTGTATCATCATTGCAACGTGAAGCGACTGCGTCGACCTCCTTCGTGATAGAGGGTGCCAAGTACCCGCACAACTACGAGAAGTCAGAGTCAAGGCTACGTCTGCAGGTCGAGCGTCGTGCGGTACACAGCATCAAGTCTTCGCGCTATGAATTGACTCGTTTTTGATCATGCGCATTGCTATGGCCACGCGCAAGGGATGACAAACGAATCGATGTAGTTGTCATGTAATACGCGGCTGACGCTGTTTATCGGCAACGTGGCTTGAATGTACGAAAGGGACCGGAGATGCCAGCGTTGCCCGAAAATGGTAGGTCGGATCATACGTCCATCCGCTGGTTCGAATGATTTAGTCGATCGAGATGCCTCTTGTTCTACACGGCAGTTAGCTCGTCGTATCACAGCGACAGCATCTCATGCCACGTAACAGCTGACAAGAGCACTAGTGAACGGCCAACTGGCTGGAAGCATTTGAAGAGAAGAGCTGACGTATGAAACCTGCTATGCGTCACTGCGCGTGACATGACGTCTGACATGGTAAGAAAACTTGCCAAGTCGAAGCAGAAAGCTGATGGTGCTCGGACAGGTGTAGATGAAACAAGCATGAGCACAAGAACTAATACGCGAGGGAGACTCGTGTAGCATCACAGTCCTGAAAGGTCGGCATACAGCGACAACCCGTGCGTCCGGTACCCAAGATCGATCCACCGACGACAATTGGTCCCCTCGCGACGCGAGGCGATCATTGACTGATGACAATCATCGATGGATGGTACTCCGATTCTCGATTGATGGATCGAAGGTAGCTGTATTTGTTGTTACAGCTAGTCGTGTATCCATCTCATGATGAAACAAGAGCTACTGCTGCATACCAAAAACGTGTGCTTACTCGAATGGGAGCTTTGCACGTTGTAGAGCTTCCTTTCCTCGTGCTACTCAGCACATGCGACAGATCTTCCTCACTGTCCAGTGTTTCTTGGCCTCACAACGAAATAACAAGGACGAGAGGCTCGGATGCTGCTGTAATGATGTTGAGGTAGTCGCCCGATCCTGAAATATCGAGATATTCCAGCGAGCAACAATTCCGCATACCTTACAACTGATAAAGGCGAGGCCAGACGCTTCTCTTCAGCGGCGGTTTCAGCAGGATGCTTCTTGTCCAGCGCAACTGTACTGCCCGCCATTCCACGCAGACTCTCGCCACGCGCGACGTTACCCTTGCTAAGATGATCAGCAGCAGAGGCTGCAATGACAGCCGTCAAAGTCGTGGGAGCAGCACTCGTCGGAAGACTGACGAGACACGCGAGCGGAAGCCAGACTAGTAGACGCATGACCTTGACCGGATACGCGATGGTGTTGACAACGTGTTGCGCTCGAAAAGCGGAATCGATACAACTTGGCCGAAGGAGCACGTAAAGTCGGTCGTGTATTGCCAAAGACCCACTTCGTGTAGAACTTAAGATCAAGACTGATGCCAAATGTGTACCTCCTCACATGCTGGTGTCCACGGCACCACTGACCGTGTCAATCTCGTGATCGGTGCCCAAACCAGTCAAATAGAGGACTTGTCTATTGTATAGTGTGCCCCATCTATAACCTGTAACATTTTTTGATCTTCATCACTCAGCTAATCCTCTACTCCTCACCCCAAACTTCAGAAAACTCAAATCTAAGACTAGGGATGGCTTAGGCGCGCTACTTGCTTCATTTCTATTGTCTCGGATTTTGATTTGGCAATTTTTACTCGAAGAAATAGGACCATAAAGTTCGAAGAATATTGTGATAACGGCTCGCGGCGAGCCACATTTGGTCGCCCCAAAATCCCTGCGTATTTTCGTTTTTTTCGATTATGTCGAAATTTTCATATGCAGCCCTCTAAATAAGTAGACGAATTAGCGTAAATGAACCATTTCCGCAGTCTTAAAAGTGCAAAAATGGCTGTCGTCACCCTTAACGGCATTGTTTTGCCTGCTTATGTCCTCTATTTACTAAAAGAGCGCAGACAATTATCCAAATCCATCAAAACCCATCACGTTTTGCCAAAACTATCGCAAGGCACAATAATTTGGGAGCAGCTGAAACGTTTACATACGTTACTACACAAAAATGTACCTCACGATGCGACTGATACTTCCTTACGGCGTATTCGACTGCCTTCCTGGTCAAGGTCATGCGATATACGTCCCTTTGCCGAAAACAATTTCGAGCATGGCGGCGGATGGTAATAAGAGAGACGAATGCAAGGGATTTCATGACCATTTGCTCGAGGCCTTTGAACGTGCAGTCGCAATTTTATGAAGTATGGCACATTGATTATCCCCAGAACATTTCGATGAAAGTCAATTTCATTGAAACTTATATTTAAGTGATGTGGTGACCGGCCGCAGTGACGGTCTCTTCCAAAAGCTGTTTTAGGCTCTTAGAATCCCCACTGATTTTGGATGCACTGCCTGCGCAGCAACAATCCTCATAATCTGCATCTGCCGTAGCCATTTTTTAGAACGCGGATTGTTAAGCTATTGTACATTGGATGGTGTTGGAATGTGCAAAAGACGTGCTTATTGTGTTTACATGCGACGAAAGCGCTGGAAAAGGCGATTTCGATTGCGA